AGCAGCTCCTCCAGCTCGGGGTTCTCGTATTCACCTGGCGGGTGGCGGCGGCACGGGTCACGGGTCATGCAGCAGGGGCGGCACGGGTCACGCGGCAGGGAGCGGCACGGGTCACGCGGCAGGGGGCGGCACGGGTCACGCGGTAGGGGGCGGCACCGGCCACCGGTCACGCGGCAGAGGGCAGCACGGGGCCGCGCGCCGCAGGCTTAGGCGTCGGCCAACCAACGTCGTGGCAGGTCATGGGCGGCGACCAATCCGGATGGAGTTCGCTTTTGCTTAGCAAGCTCTGAGACTAAAACGCATTGACGAAATCGACGCGATGAGCAAACGCCCTTGCACAACACCGAGCAAGAAATCGAACGACATGGCGCAGTATCACCGCAACCACTTCCCAGCCGACTCTCAGCTAGTCGCACAACACCACTGTCCACCTCTCGGCCTGTAAGCGGCAGCCGAAGGGGCGGCTGTCAGCCGCCCGAAGGCCAGAGGCGCCGTGCCGATCCGTACCGACGATGTCGTAGGCTGCGGATGTCTTGACGCCGCGCACGGCCATGCCGCTGACGAGCACCGCCACGATGGCCAGGTGCACCCGGCGCAGGCGCACGAAGTAGACGAACTGCCGGACAGCCGTACGCGCTCTCAGTGACAGGCGGCCGGGCGGGGGCGGCCGACCGACAGCGACAGGAGCGTTAGGGGCCTGGGACGTGGACCGCGATACCCTGAGGCGAGGACTGGGCTCCCCTGCGCCCATCCCCCTCCATCCAATCCGTGTCCTCCACCTGCGCGCCTTACTTTTTCTACTTTATCTGCAATGCCCCCGCCTCCACTTTCCGTGCGCAGCTGAGAAGAATCGTAGGTCCACCCCCACAGCTTGCACCCGCAGATACATACTGTTCCCATCCGGCGGTAGATCACTTGAGTGTCACAGACAAGATCGTGCAAAGACCATCGGCAGCTGGCGCCTGCACAGTGGGCCACCAGGCGGGCCACCGACAGCGCTGTCGAGCTCCCCACCCCACAGGAGACATGCACTCCTTTCACGGGGCGGTGAATGCTTATCATTACCAAAAACACCACGCCGAAACATGACGCCACTGACCGGGCAAAAACACCGGTGATATCACACATGCAGCAAACTACAACGCAGACCGCCCTCGTGGTGACGGCGGGGGGAGGGGGGGGGGGGGGGGCGGTCAGGCAACCCATCAGCACCAGTAAGGCTAGCGCTCGAGTTCGACCCCGCCTAAGTGCAGCTGGAGGCACTCGGCCCACCTTTCTGGAGACGAGCAGCGCCGCCGCCACGCACAGCATCGGCGTGAAGAACAACTTGAGCCGCATGACTAGCGTCGCCATCACGGCGAACACGGCCAGCTGCAGCAGCGAGTACACCACATCGAGGTCCTGGCGGAGCCGGGTGCGCACGGCCAGCGCCCAGGCGAGCAGCGCGCCGGGCCGCGACGCGGCCTCGCCGGCGCCGCTGGTCAGGACGGCGGCGCCGCGGCCGCGGCCGGCTCGCCTGCGGCTCCTCGTCGCTGCTGGACGCGGCGGCAGCCGGCCGGCGGCCCGGCTCCGGCCGCGGCCCGCCGGCCAGCCACAGCGAGATGGCCAGCGCGGCGCCAGCAGCGCACACGGCAGCAGCAGCGTGCTGCTCAGCTGGGACACGGTCGCCGGCTGCAGCCAGTCGAACTCGGGCGCGCACGTGTACAGCAGCGTGTCGAAGTCACGGTACTTGCCCAGCTTCGAGCGCAGGATGTTCCACACGTGGTTCTGCAACACGCAACGTGAAAATCAAAACTGGCTCACGGACATTGGAGCGTGACAAACTTCAACAAAATAGCGTGTGCAGTATGGTCTTGGCTACCCCGGTTTATCCACGCGATACATACGGCTGCAGTGGCATAATCATAGTACAGCAGCAAGGTGCCACTCACAGGAACTGGGCTCACTATACCGTACAAGCGCCATTCGTTTACTTTTTTCATTTCGCCGTTGTCACGCGCCAATTACATGCCCCGCCCTGAATCGCTCCCGCATGCACGGTTATCAAGGCAGGAGGAGATGCCGCCACCAACGCGCCCCCACACCAACAGCGACCGACACGCCTGGCGCGGTCGGCGGGCATCGCTCACATCGTCGTGGACGCCCAGCAGGTGAGTGAGCTCCAGCCGGAGGCCGACGGTGCCGACGATGCCGAGTCCAAGCCGAGCCAGCGCGCGGCCGGCGGCGGCGCAGCAGCAGCAGCAGGTCCTCCAGCGTCAGCGCCACCAGCAGCAGCGCCAGCACCGCGCCCGTCAGCAGCGAACACAGCAGCATCCGGTTGCCGAACAGCAGCATAAACGCCGTCACCAGACCCAACTGGGGACGGAGACGGTCTGTCAGCCAAGCTGAGGACGGAGTCGACCTGTCAGCCCAGATGGGGACGGAGGCGGTCCGTTAGCCCAGTTGGGGACGGAGGCGGTCCGTCAGCCCAGCTGGGGACGGAGGCGGTCTGTCAGCCCAGCTGGGGACGGAGGCGGTTTGTCAGCCCAGCTGGGGACGGAGGCGGTCTGTCAGCCCAGCTGGGGACGGAGGCGGTCTGTCAGCCCAGCTGGGGACGGAGGCGGTCTGTCAGTCCAAGCTGGAGACGGAGGCGGTTTGTCAGCCCAGCTGGGGACGGAGGCGGTCTGTCAGTCCAGCTGGGGACGGAGGCGGTCTGTCAGCCCAGCTGGGGACGGAGGCGGTCTGTCAGCCCAGCTGGGGACGGGGGCAGTCTGTCAGCCCAGCTGGGGACGGAGGCGATCTGTCAGCCCAGCTGGGGACGGAGGCGGTCTGTCAGTCCAGCTGGGGACGGAGGCAGTCTGTCAGCCCAGCTGGGCAGTCTGTCAGCCCAGCTGGGGACGGAGGCAGTTTGTCAGTCCAAGCTGGAGACGGAGGCGGCCTGTCAGCCCAGCTGGGGATGGAGACGGTCTGTCAGCCCAGCTGGGGATAGAGGCAGTCTGTCAGCACAGCTGGGGACGGAGGCGACCTGTCACTCCAGGATGCGGGGATGGAGGGGGGGCGGAGAGTCTGTCAGTCCGCTGAGGGACGGAGGAGGTCTGTCAGTCCAGCTGGGGACGGAGGCGGTCTGTCAGCCCAGCTGGGGACGGAGGCGGTCTGTCAGCCCAGCTGGGGACGGAGGCAGACCGTTAGCTCAGCTCGGGACTGACGCCAGTGACGGTGGGTCCTCTGGGGAGACGAGCATGGGCGCGCAATGGCTGCCGCGGTCGGCACAGCCCACGAGCAATTATAGATAGTCAGATACAGAGATAAAGTGATGCTACTTCATGCAACGCCACAACATTGAATCTATTTTTTTCCAGATGCAGCAACAGCTCCCTTTAACTTCCTCTTTGCTTCTGCCGCCTCTAGCGAACGCGGATTGTCAACCCAGCTGGGACGGAGGCGAGCTCCCGGTCCATTGGGGACAAAGGAAAGTGTCAGCATAGCTCGGGCAGAGAAGCGACCCTGTCAGTGCAGACGGAGACAACCGGACGACTGGAGCATAGCTGTGATGGGCCTCTTAGCCCACCATACGGGCAATGGAAGGCAGTCAGTGCTGCTGGGGCCCAGGCGAAATGTCAGCGGGCGAGGTCGGTTGTGGGAGTGTGGACTGAGCCACTGTTTGGAGAAGGATCAAAGAATGTGGACGTCAGTACAGCACGAGGGGGATATGCCCCAGCTTGCTGGAAATAACCCACGTAAGCACAAACTACGAACGGAAATCGATCATTTCTCCCTCGTCACACGACACACAGTAAAAGGCAACACTGCAGACACAGCAAAAGGCCGTCCCACCTGCCGGGATGCTAGGATGAGCTGGCTGGGCCAGCTGCTCGGCATGCTCTGAGGGTGGCGCTGGGCGGCGCCCTCCACTGGCACCGGCGGCCAGCGCTCACGCCCCTAACGACCGGCACCCGCGCTCCAACACGCTCGACACCAGGTTCAGCTGGCCTGAGGCCAACTCAGACCGGGCGGCCCGCGCAGCGCGCACCACGCTCACCAGCTGTGCTGGCCGAGGATGCCCTTCAGCTGCGTGTGCTGAGCACGCCGACGACCCAGAGCAAGGTAGAGCAGCCACGTCTGCGTGAGGCAGCAACGAACTGCGAGAACTGCCAGAACAGCAGCGAGATGGCTGGTCATGCAGCCGATGCTCAGCACCTGGCGGCGGCGGCCGGCGGAGGCCGGTCAGTACAGCCGCTTCCTCGCTCCTGGCCACGGCCGTGAGGGCGGCCCGGGTCCCGCCCGGGAGACAGACGGGAAGGAGGGGGCAGCGCGGGGAGGGTCAAATGTTAACGTGCGAACGGTCGGGACTGACCAGGAGGGAGCCGGTACATCCACCGTACAGCACGGCACGGTACATCAGACGGATCAGGTCACGGTTTCACGGTTTATTTCCAGGATCAGCGTGGGTCGTAAGCACGTCCAGAGCGATCGTGAGGGTAGTCATGGTACTCATGGTCAACCTCACGAGGTGTCTGAGTGGCCCCCGCGAGGAGCTGCGGCGGACAGTGCAAAAGGTCGGGGGCCGCGCGTGTTGCGGTCTCCACACCCGACAACCGGGTCACAGACGAGGGATCGAACCGTCTCCCCTGCCCACGAGCAAGCCGGAGAACCTGTTTATGAATGCCTGCGATCTGACCCTACATAAAACCAACACGTCATTCCGACACCCCTCAACCATCCGGGCCAGTGCGCCCGAACCACTCCGACGGCACTCTCCACCGGAGAAGCCACTCCGCGTGCACTCCTGGCGAGAGTGCTCCCAGCGCGGGCCCGACCGGAGCCGCCGCGGCTGCCCACCTGAAGCCAGCTGGGCCGCTTGGACGCGACCGTGCGGCACACGTACACCATCTGCGCCATCAGGAACGGGAGGCGAAGCTCTCGCGCAGCGGCGGCGTCCACATGATGCGCGTCGCCTCAGCGTGGTTGAAGAAGAAGCAGGTGACGGTCAGGAGGCCGCCCCCATATGTTACCGCTGTCGCACGGAAGGAGGGAGTCAACACGGACCCGGGGGGGGGGGGGGGGGGGGGGGGGGGAGGGAACGACGGGGTAACACCGGTGATTTTGTATGATTATTGGTATTAAAAAGCGCGTCCGCTGTTGATGTCATTTTACGCTCTCCTCCCATCTTAATTACACGGCAACTTTACGGTGCTATTGAGGTGAGTATGTCACGTGAATTCCAGCAGCGGTCAAGAACAGCAACACGTCGCGTGGGTCGATCTCCGGACATTCACCTATAAGTAAAGTCCGGATAACTTTACGTCCAAAGAAAGCTGCCTCTAAGCAACTAAAATTGCACATTATACCACTGCATGCCTGGCAGTGAGGATTAAAAGTGGAACGCTTCACGATTGTGCGTATCATCCTCGCGCCAGGGGCCACGCTCATCTCCTCTGTGTCGTCCCAATTTCATTATATGTACAGCCGAAGCAGGCACCACCTGACAGCCCCAGACCCGCACCACTGACCCCATCTGGCAGCCGTAGACGAAGAGCACGATGCCGAGCAGGGCGGGCGCAGAGGCCAGACGCCGGCGAGGTAGAAGAAGGACGGGCGTGCCGAGCCCGATGCAGCTCCAGACTGGCGCCAGGCGCTCGCCGCGGTCCACCTTCCAGCAACTTCGCGCGTCTCCCAGCCCAGCGCCTGCGTCACCCGCCGGTACCAGTGGTACGCGCCGCCCAGCAGCACCTGCCCAACGCACAGCTCGAGCTTGTCCATATCCGCCGTTACCAGTGGTACGCCGCCGCCCAGCAGCATCTGCAAACATACGCTCGGGCTAGTCATATCCACCAGTACCAGCGGTACGTGCTGATTGAGACCATCTGCCTAACACAACGTTTAGTCAGTAGCCGATACCAGCACTTAAAGTGGTACCAGCTACACAGTGGTGGCAGTGATACGCACGCCGAGACAAGCAGCTGTCGACACCAGCAGCAGCTCCATACGGTACCCACCTGACCTTCTGACCCCGAGCCATTCCCAGGCCGTCGGAAGGACGGGAAATACACCAGACTGGGCTGACCTACACTGCGGAGGACGGCGCCAGGCCGGGTGGTGCTGCGGGCCCGAGATCAGGCTCGACCGTGAAGGTCAGGGCCGCGTTCACACGCTAACAGTGACCACCCGGCCGCTGTGTGAAGGACAGAGGAACACCTGCCGACCTCCGGGCGCACAGTGGCGGCGCACCGGACGGGCGCGCGGCGGCTCACCTCCGGGTAGAGGTTGAACCTCTGCAGGGCGTTGACAGTGTGCGGCGCCTCAACCAGCCGGTCCTCCAGCAAGCAGGTGCAGGCCCGACATCAGGTCAGGCGCCTCGGCGACCGTCTTGAAGTACGAGTAGATACATGCCCTGCGCAGACACGGCGTTCGGGCTGACGTGATGAGCCAGGGCCGAAGCGGCGCCGTCGGGAGGAGCGCCGCGTCGCGTTCACATGCTAATAACTCCCACTGGCTCGGAGGTGAGTGCTGCGGGTTCTGGTCAGTCATGAGTTTCTGCATTCATACAGGTAATGATGGGCGGAATGAAAAGGGCGCAAGTACTCTCGTTCGAGCTACAATGGAGCACAAGGTACTCATGGTCCATGTACTTCAGCTTATTGTTCTACTGAATTGCTCGTTTACTGACGAATGAATTATTTGCATTTACGTTGCAGCTACAACCCCCCAACAGATCGCTCCGCGCGGTGACAGCATGACACGGCACCGTAACACAGAACACTGTGTGGAGGATGCCGGGTCATAAGCCCCCCCCCCCACCCCACGGCGGCCGCGGACGGCGCCCGACGCTGCAGCGGGCGGCGGCGGCGGCGCCGGCGGCTCTCACCATCTCAAGTGCGGAGGGACATCTCACGCTCGAGCGTCGACAGGTGACTGAGTGGCGGTCGTTCTCAACAGGGGTGCTGACATGCAGCGCGGTGCAGACCGCCGCACGTCAGACCTGCGGGCACGGCACGGCACGGCACGCAGTCACGTCCCGGCCCGGCCCGGCGGCGCACGCGCCAACCTAAGGCGACCAGCGCCCACCCAGACAACGTCGTGCGCGACAAGCGCGCGCCCGTGTCTGCTGGCGTGATCAGCGGCCATGGCGACATCCGGTGAGGAGAAGGCGACATCTTACCGACGTTTGGCCACATGGTGAGGCACCAACTTCTCCAGCCGAGGAGAGGACAACCTTTCTCGGTGCCCGGGAATTGCGAACCAAGGCGACCCGTTCCACTCCACCAGCCACGAACGAAACGCCAGGCGAGTGAAGCCGGCGGCGGAGGCGGCGCCGGCCGCCGCCCGGCCGCGTACGGCTTGCGGCTGTATCACCGGAGCTCTTGTGCGGGCAGTCCGCTGGCGGTGCGGGCGCGTGCTCGCGGCGCGGCACCTGGCCCGGGGCTGAAGTCGCTGTCCTCGTCCCTCGGTGGCCGGCTCCGCGGGTGACCACCATTGTTGCGGCTGGCCGGCCGCCTGTCGGCACAGGTTCAGGGCCGGGCTGCCAAGCGGAAACAGGCGACGGCGGCGTACCGAGGACACCGCTGGCTGCACGCCGCGGGCACCCACCGACTGCACACCGTGGACACCTCCGATTGGGACACCCGCCCTGAACACCGCGGGAACTGCCCACCGCGGACGCCGCCGACTGCACATTGCGGGCGCCGCGGACGGCACACCCCAGACACCCCGACGACACACCCCGGACACCGACCTGCGCATCGCGGACATCGCCGACTGCGCACCGCGGGCACCGCCGAAACTGCACACCCCGGACACTCCCGATGGGACACCCCAAACACCTCGGACTGCACACCTCGCGGACACCACCGACTGCACATCGCGTGCGACATCGCCGACCGCACACCGCCGACTGCACACCCCGGACACCCTCGACGGAACACCCCAGACACCTCGGACTGCACACCGCCGATACCATCGACAGCGCAACAACGGAACACGCCAACTGCACGGTATGCCTGGCGACTTGGCAAGCTAGTGACATGCTGTAGACAGTTTTGGACAGAGGTAAGTTCCTGTGTGTTCAACAATTCAAGCCGCGCTCCCTTACCGAACTGCAACAGCTTGTCCAACAATCTATAGTAATTGCAAAATTACCACTCAAATATGATTAATCACACCGTAAATGTGTTTCATGCTGCCAGTCCACTCTAGTAAGTCCATTGCACCTGTACTTGTATCATTGCATTTCAAGCATCAGTCATTGTCATCATCAATTGTCATCCTTTGTTAAAATGCCTCCACATGAGCTTACCGCCCTAAATGATACAATGAACCGATGACTATTTATATTGATCGTGATTGGGGTTCTAGGGCATGCTGACCACCGCAATCATTTTGCACCATTTTTTTTCAGTCATCAGCAGAGTGACAAAGACTGCTGGATTTTTGGTCTCCTAATGACTGCTAATCTCCTCTACCGCGGCCCGACAAGGGGGGTACTCCTGGTCAGCTATTCGTGGATGACTGCGTCGACTACAGACAAGGGCAAACAATCCAGACTGTAACCATTGTCAGACTGAAGTTTTTCGGAAAGTAGTACACCCTGAAACTGGACACTCATTCTGCAAACAGGTGAAGGATTTGTCAGCCAGCAACTAGCTATACACAGCGTGCGGGCTAGGGAGTAAGCATAAGAACATACAGCATGCTGCAACAAGAGGGCCTACGACAGCATGAATGCAACACCCTATATGGTAATGGTGAAAGGTGTGTATCACACTAGGCAGCTCACGTCTGCATAGGTATGGGGCCCCCGTCACCAGAAACTGCAACCAAGAGACAGACTAACAGAGACTTGCTCAAAACTAGGACTTCAGAATTTCTTCAGGGTATCAGAAATTGAGCCTAACTGGGCCGCGTCGGCTCCGTGCTCGCAAACGTTCCCAAGACAAAGCTGCAATCTCTCCAGACTTTCAACTAAACGCTTTTCCAAAGGTCATTAAAATCGTCGATATCACACGGAAGATCCTTCCAAACGAGACTCGCTAGTGGTCACCATCATCAGCCGCTGGGAACGATAACGGCGTCTCCTTCAGGCCCACGAATTTCGCGTTAACGTCGAACAGTCCTTTGTGTTCTGCAAAAACAGACGTGTTTATGCTCCCCTGCGCTCCTGCTGCCAATACCCACTTTTCCGATACATGCCATGAATCCGCTCAGTCCCCGGATGGGCCGTCCCAGCAGTCATCGGTTCGGGGCAATGGAACGGCGTCACTTGTGGTATCCGCGTTCAGTCCGGTAGTCGGTGCAAAAATCGGATCGTCCCATCTTTCTTCTGCACCGAAACTCTTCTTGCTGCGCACGGGGACACACCTCAATGGCCTGAATGACGTCACCTTGGCCTGATGACGTCAACCTTTGAGCATGTCGCTCACCATTCCGTCCATTGACCACCACTCGCGCCCGGCTGCACGAACCTCGGAGGCGCAATCAATACATCTGAACTTCCTGCTAAACGACACCTGACCCTCAAAGCGTTCCATCAGTGAGAAACCAATCCAGGTATGCAGGCAACAGCCTTCCTGTCATTCTCCTTTTCTCTTCCTATCCACTTGCTTTCTCTTCCTGAGGATTCTTTTGGGCGGCAAGGATTCATGCACCACACGCCACCTGTTCAATATATCCGACTGTCTTTCCTTTGTATAATCTCTGATGCTTTCCCTCACCTGGATTCACAAACTTCAAGCTCACCTGATTGATTATCCCCAACAGTGTTCAGAACGCGAGCATCTACAACCTGGTACTTATTATTTTACAATGCTCCATCAGGAGTGCACATTACGCACATTCCGGCTAGCTGGCCCAGCGCCGCGTTCCCTTCGCATCGATCTATATTGACCTGGTGCGAACAATGCCGCATGACAGTGTTACCCCTGCCGACAACAGAGCTGTAAAAGCTCCAACCCTGCATCTCATCACTAAAGGAGGCAAGACTTTCGAGCCTACAGACACCTTTCCAGAGACCCAGTCAACCGAAATGGCGGCCCCCAGCCTTCTTATGACATCAGTGACCAGCAAGCGCAATGTGGTCACTGCTGGCACAGCGCACACAGGATACCAACACCATTGCCTAGAACAACAAGCATTTACCGTCGATTGTAGCAGATCGCTGGCGCACCGCGCATGATACTAAATAGCGAACGCCTAGGACGCCCAAAATGACCTAGGTACACTCCTACGCTCCCATGCCCAACAACCATGTCCCTGTACTGCTCTCCAGCACAGTCTTTCAACTGTTGTTAGGAAAGGCAGTTGCACCCACAACAGCTTCTTTATCAAGCGCACCACTGCACAATCCCTGGACCACATCATCACTGGGCCGAGCACCTGGAATGGGAGAGTGGCCCTCTTCTCCAGCTCTCACTGAAAATCCACCTGGGCTCAGCAGTTGAGCACCAAATGACCTGACCATCCACATCAATAGCACAGACCACCACGTCCCCGCTGTAGGCCACCAGTCCCTCGCCAAGTGACCATAACAACTACAACAACAAGCATGGCTAGTGAGTTCTTCCTCCATGCCTCCTGTCCAGCGCACCCCCTCAGTAAGCACCTCTACCGCACACTCTTCGATGAGCACACCGGGGGTCAATCTGCCGACCTCGCCTGAAGTTCTGCCATGAAGGCTGCCACCACCGGTCTGATTACCAAACTCCACCCCTGGGCCACAGCAGAGGGTCCTGTCCCAAGCCTCCCCACCAGCAGAGAAGCGGCAGAAGGTGCACTGCAAACCTGCTCAATCCTCCTTGTCCTCTGCTCCTAGTCAGAGCTTTGACAATACCCTCTGCAGGGCCAGATGCCCATTCCTGGTGCACCCATTCATTTCCAACTGCTATTACTGCTACTACACTGAGTTCCTCAGCAGGTAACTGCACCTGCTGGCATCAGTATGAGCTCAACTGCAATGCACAGTGATTTGAAAGCCACATGAACCAAACTTGGACAAACAATTTTAAAATTCTGTATGTATGTTTTGCAGTCCTCTTGTCAGATACCTTGAGCCAGTGCAATGAAAACTGACCTCATTTGGTGGTGTCAACAGTCGCCCTTAAACCAGTGCACACTGTTCAAACTTGTAATGGAAATGTCTGACATTGTCCCTCCATCAGTCACTTGACCTGACCACTGTGCCATGGATGTCATAGCAGGTGACCTTCATCTCTTACTGCACTGTTAGCCTTGTCCTCTTCAAATTTTGTCTTTGACATCATGCCTCACCACCACTATCACCGTGACAAACAGCCAAACTGTAGTTTTTCAGAAGTAGTACACCATTGAAGCTGAACACTCATTCTGCAAACATGCAGAAGACTCTTTAGCCAGCAACTAGCCATACATAGCATGCAGCCTTGGGAGGTAGCATAAGAGCATGCAGCATGCAGCAACAAGAGTGTCCACAGAAGCATGCAGCAAGCAAACACCACACACACCAAAATGGCATGCAACACTCATGACATAACCAGAATCATCAAGGCATGCACATGCAACATGCTACAATACTGCTTTGCCTGGAGAAAGCTTACATGGTTATTTACAATCACCATGATAAATCCTTCCAACAAGCTGTATATTGTAATTTTAGCCTACCATTTCTCTTAACAAAATGTTCCTTTCATCATCCCTTAATTCTTGGAATGTCTGAGACATAACAATCAATTTTACATAAGCCAATGCTGACACCTTATTCACTGACACATTATTTACATCATGAATGCTTTGACAGCAAACAGGAGTTTAATATGCATGGTACATGGTGATGAAGCAATTCTTTATAAATTTATGAGCATTTCACTGCATTTCATATCAAACATGGTGAATCAAGGAGCAATGCAAAAACCTATGAAGAGGTACACCAAATTTTGGGTACAATAGGGTGAAGAACAGATCAAGAATATCTATTTGTGTGAGCAGTTAAAAGTGACTACTATCATGTAGCTATAAGCTCAGTGAACATTGTTCATCATATCAGACAAATATATTATTGGAAGTTGCAAACAAATGATACCTGTGTGTGTATATGTACATGAGTCAATGGAACCTGGTGCGGCAATAGCACCACACACCACATTTTTCACCCCGGGAGGCAGTCATATTAAATACCAACAAAGGCGGTGAGAAGTCTAGTTAAAATTTTGCATGATTTGACAAACCAAGCAGCTGACAAAAGGTAAATGAATTATTTATACCCCAAATAATTTATGTTATCCAGATATATCAATTGAGCATGCTCCACTGATACACAACAATTACCACCAATTTCAATACAATCTCCATGAGAAGCCAAGTCATAAAACAGAGGTCACTAAGTTGCCCACAACTAAGCCTAGTTCTTCTGTTTTTAATACAGTCAACATGCATTACAACACAGTCATTATACAAAAAGATGATTGGGGCAGCCCTAATGCCTAACATCCACACCTGAACACCATTCAATACATTTGCAACACCGTATTCGTTTGATTGTCATGCCTAGACCTACTAGTGCAGGAAAGGTAGGCCACTAACTATATAAAATGTATGTGCTTGTTATTCCCTGCAAGCAACTGAATGCGTTGGGAATCTCAGCCGCCCTTTTCGCAAGCTTCCCACATACAACAGTTTACCACATCATTGCGACATATTAGTCACATCATCAATTCATAAACTGATCGCTGGAAGATTCGTCGGCTAAGCATCCTTACAGACAGATGTATCTGGAATCAGGCTTCTCCACCAACCCCCAACGATTCCACCCCTATGTTTACACGGCCCCCGCACGCAGCAATCACACACGAGGTTAACCGTAGGAGTTATGGGTGGTGGGGCTAAATGGGAGTGAGCTCTGGCATCTAGCGGAACGATTATTTTAAAATATCATTTTGCATACATTTGTAACAGCTCTGGATTTGAACTTTTGAAAATAATAATGTAGATTATCCACATAACATTTGTCTTCAATTTTTCTTTTGTCATATTTTGAGGCTTTATATGATTTTGTATGTTATATTTGGCGCGGGAATTAACTAAAACAAGCTGGGCGCTAAAGGTAACTAAATTTGGTAGCTTTTGTCTGAGAGCGTTATTCCTTCCTATTCCTGTCCGTTTTGAGCTTGGTGTTCGGTACGCCAATCTTAAAACGGTCTCTTTCCACGGCGCCAAAGACTTTAACTCCGAGAAATCCACATCATACAGTTAAATAATATTGATATTGCCTGTATATCGATTAGGGTCATTTTGCTGGCAATCAAGCTGAAGAGCCATGATCGGGCCCAATTTACCGCTAATATAGACCCTCTCAGTTGGAAAATGCTCGTCTAATTATTTGAATCAAAACGATGAAAGACGTCGTAGAGCTCACGTGGAGTGCTGGCGACCAATGGGATGTGATACGGATAGCGATATCTGTCATTCTTCCTTGTTTGATGCCTTTGTGATCAGGATTGGATACTCGATATACAAAGCTCGAATATTTTTGTAGATACACGGCTAGAAAGGATTTTCTTTCGGGATATGGTAGCTCTCACTGGGGCAATATTTGCTCTAATGCGGCGCATTAAAGCGAAAGTGGATAGGGCGCGCAACTAACGCTACGCTGTAAGTAGGTCACGGAGTCGTAGGCCGCGCCGCGGTTTGTTAGTAAATAGGACGCGCGAATGCTGCGCGTGTGCAGTGTTGTATCCGTATTACCTAAATCGAGTGTGGAAGGTGAACGCTGCCGAGGAAGTGTATCGTCGGCAAGCACAGCATTTACAGCCACCGCTTCGATTTCTATGGATACTGCAATCCATAGGCCTGAAAACGTGGCTGGATGAAGCTACCGCCGCTGTCTGTGGCAAGTAGGTCAGTTAGATCCTTTGCCTTATATCTACTTTCCTGAGGCTCAAGGACATTTTTCTGTGAGGTGTGTTCAGATGCCTGTAACACGTAGTTCTTGAGGCATCTGGACAGAAGTGGAAGTAACAGCAGCACGCAAACAGCAGAAACATTTGGATGATGTGCAATTCTGGCCCAAATAGGTTGGGATCAAGCCCACAAGGCAAATAAAACCATTTCCAAAATAGTTGCATCAATCTCATAGCCCGTGTACCCATCTGAATTAAATCGAACCCTTAAAGAGGCTTCGGAGTATGGTGTGGAATGGGGAAGAAAACTATATGGCTGTTACAAAATTTTGACAGCCATGGTCAATCCATAGCCATAGGGGGAACATAGTGTGAACATTGAACCAATTATGATATTCTGTAAGCAATGATAATCATCTTCCTATTGTCCTACTGTTACCATACACAGTTCATGCACCAACCATATTATTCACTGAGCCAAAACCTCCCAAATTTAGTGACATGTATCTATAGGTACCCTTTCATGTTTGGTTGGGGTGACCAAATTCCTGGATGATATGTGGCATGTGAGTCAACATATCATGGCTCATTCTGTTTGAATAATGTGGTTATGTTGTAATATTTTTTAATCCCTGGGTTTATAAGTGATTTATTCAATGAAACAGTTGTTTTGTCAGAAATGCAATATTGTGCTCAACATGTGTAGGGCAATAAAATCACATGCTTTGATATTCAGGCAGGCTTTACATGTTATGCTTAACTTTTGATCTCTATACATGGTGATAGTTTAGTGTCATTGATTTTTGCAATGCTTGTGGACAGTTTTTAAAGGGTATGCTTTTTCTAATGCATCATTAAGTAAGCCTCCTTTCTTGGTAATGCTACTACACCAAAACCAATAACAAAACTGTGAGAGCGAAAATATGACCCCTTTTGAATGTGCAGGTGTGAAAAAATTTCAACTAACTTATGATGAGTGATCTGTTGGAGCTGTGGGAATTGGTAAAAATTGTTTAGTTTGGGGATTAGGCACTAAGGTTCATTCACAGTGACAAATGAACAAGATTGTAAGCCATGGTCAAGTTTGTCATGTTCCACAGGCTACCAAATGTCCTAGAATTGAATTTTCTGTCCATTGGAGTAATTTGACATTCAGGTTGTGCTCTCTGATTACAAATTGTAACCCATTTGTAATACAGTAGTTGATTTCTCAGAGGCAAACAAATGTGGAAAGTTAGTTTTGTCATTGTGGTATCTGGTGACTTTTGTGTCAGCATGAATGCTACCTGTCTTATAAGGACTTATATTTATACTCATACTCGTGCTCATATAGTCCATACTCTTGAGGCTCATGCTCATATAATTTGCGCTATATTACAGTACATCCAAGCACTATGGTCACTACCATCAAATTTGCTTTTGAAAATTATTGCAGAGACAGTGAATCATCAGTCCAATAGGCAAGACTCAAACCCAAAGTTTGTTACATGTTCATCTGGAAAGCATGCCATGCCAACTGATGCCAACTGAACTGCCAGTGCCACCTGAACCATATGTCCCTTTTTGGTACCAGGCATGAGCCAAATCTGATTTGGGTTCAGATTCTGGTTCACAAAGCTGCAGTTTTTCTGTGATGGCCTGGGGTTGGCTTCAACTTTCAACTATTTTTCACAACCGGTTTCGGCTGTGTACGCTTTTGGATGGTTGCTGTAGGGTTTGATTTTATCTCATTTTAACAGCTGGCTTCCACAACTTTCAAATTATGGTTTCAGCCTCAGATACAGTCTTAAAGTGCTGGGTTCTGCCTTTTCATGCCAATTTTCCTTTGCTGCAGTCATGGCATTACTGAATGAATACTGTTAGTCCTGTCAACCCAACTACACCTGGGTACATTCCCAGGCTGTTTTCACAGACACGGCTGAAATACAAAATCAGTTGATCATCCTCAGGGCCAATTGATCTGGCAACAGTTGGAGAGTCTGAAAGGTAGCAAAATTGAAATACAAAATCAGTTGATCATCCTCAGGGCCAATTGATCTGGCAACAGTTGGAGACTGAAAGGTAGCATACATATATGAGCATGCAAGTTGGCATCACTAGTCTGAAATTTTCACTTATCTGTTATTGTTATGCCTTGTTGCAATCACCACATACAACCTTCAAACTTTGATATTTTCCGGTCACACACGTTTTAACGGACGTGAAAAGAATTTTGGTTTTGCGGAGCGATGATAGCCGGATCCGGAGCCCGCTTCGGCCAAAGCGATTCTGAGTTCGAAGTCGCAGTTTCCGCTTTCTACTTCGTGTCTACAAGCTTTGAAGTTTGAAGCGGCTGTCTGTGAATTTTTGATTTACATTTTCAAAATATTAAGCCCATATTCGGCTTCGGCTTCACCGTTCGAAACTTCAAGCCTGGTTTCGGCTTCGGCTTGATGTCATTGCTTTGGCGTTGGATTTCAAGTCAGAAGCCGGGGTATGTCCCCTCGCCTGGTTGGTACCGCAGTTGGCATGATGCGGAGGCAATGACTTTTGCAGTTGTACCATCGATAGCACTCATTCGTTTCGAATTTTTACGTTTTCACCGAAAATGGACGTAAAATGACTGCAGCTGTCGATGTGCTCTAAAATACCAACGTACGCCAACTGTAACATTGGCATATACTGAGTAATGAAAGCGTTACCTTCTAGGGCCTTGATAACACAAACGATGTGATTTGTATGAAGCCTGGAGCAACCAAACAAAGGCACAACAGTCGGATGTAGCACGGCGCTCGCCCGTAATCGTCGGCGACGCAAGTAAATGACACCGAGCTGTGGATGCGAACTGATCTATTGCTACCAAGAAAGCATCATTCACCGGCGCTGAAACAGCACTGCTCCATCACAGCGGAAACAAACCGAGAACATTTTACCCATGGGTCATTATCGACTGCTTTATAGCTTTCACTTCGCTGTTTCACTAACCATCCGTTCGTTTACACGGCGTCCCGTGCCTGTCGCATGACCCGATCCACATTGTGACCGGCCGTTGGCCCGTGCCGCTCCGGACAGCGGCTGATGAGGCTGGCCTGGCCGGCAGGGTCTCGCCATGCTGGACACGACGCGGGAGCACCTGGTGTGGCCCGGCACGCCGGTGGGCGGCAGCGGCGTGCGTCCGCTCTTTATCAAGAACACGTCAGCCACCGAGTCGATGAACCTGGCACTGGACATAGCCGACGGCACCTTCTTCAAGGTGGGAGGCCCGCGCCGAGCCGTCGCGGTGCGCGGCGGACACGGCTGCTTACGTTCACTCGTACATGCTTCCGCACGCCCAGGTCAGCCTCCACCCGAGCAGATCCGCCTTCACTCATCCCGATCCACCGCTTCCACCGATACCAAACTGCTTCCACTGACCCCGATCCGTTCCCACTGGTTTCGATCCGCTATCTCTGATCTCGATCCACTTCTACCGAGCCGGATCCGTTTTCACTGATCTCGATCCTCTGTCACTGACCCCGATCCGTTTCCACTGATCTCGATCCGCTATCGATGATCTCGATCCACTTCTGCCCAGCCCGGTCCGTTTTCACTGATCTCGTTCCTCTTTCACTGACCCCGATCCGTTTCCACCGATCCCGACCCGTTTTCACTGCTTCCGATCTGCTTCCACTGGTCCCGATCCATTTCCACTGATCCCGATCCCACTACCCAACGGGATCGCAATCCGGTCCAGCCCAGCTCAGTTCGTGGAGGACGGCGTTTAGCCAACCTCTGTGTGACTACCATGGCGCGTGATCGGGGTGTACGCAGACTGCCGTTCGGTATGTGGATGTCTGGATCTGCCTGAGACGAAGCCATCCGAAACCGGTTGTGTCAGTCGTGCGTTGATGCTGCGCTGGCCTTGGCTTGTTATTTGAGTTTCGCTGATTCTGCTTCAAAGGATTTGTTTGCGCCTCTTGTTTATTGTAAATGCCGTTATCGGCCCGTGGCTTCTGGGCTGGTTTTTCATGCCAATCATTAACTTGCATACCGCACTGGTGGTGTGGGTTTTCAGTTTGAGACGGTGCCGAAGCCGAGCTCTTCGTTTGAGATCGCCATGGCGCCGCGCACGGAGCGGAACGTGAACGTGCTGTTCACGCCGAACGAGGTGCACACGTACCGGGACTCCGTGGTCATCCGGCCCTCCACGCAGCACCGCAGCCTCAACAGTGCCATGGTGAGCCTGACCCGTAGCCTGGGCCGCAGTCCGACCCCGCGCCTGACGCGCCACCCGACCCTCAGTCCAGGCTGCCAGGTCTGGCGCGGGAACCGACCCGCCGTCTGTTCTCGCTGTGCAGTCCGCCGCCTGACGGATGTCTCTGCGCCAGGCTTGAATGTGGCGGTGGTGGAGATTGGGAGCCTCACCCGTGATCTCAGTGTAGCGTGCGTGTCTGGCTTCCTTGTGCACCCGCCGTGGTGTCAGGCTTGCCTGCCTTCATGGCCTCTGGTAACGGAATGTGACTTAACGGCTTCATTTGTTATGTGGGTAGACTTAAGATTGTCGCCAAAGGATTCAGAAAATGATGCACGTCTTGGGGATTAAGTAGTTGCAAACATGACAAGTTGCAGAATCGTTGCAGTGCCAAAATGTCAGACGAAAGCTGACCAATGAGTGCACGCATGCGGCAAAATCGCTGTCCTAAACCAAGTCTCCGTTTAACCATCCAGGCCACTACGGCCCGCGCAGTTTGCATGGCTGCTAATGCGCGAGCCCACTAGGAGGGCAATCTCAGCCGTCCAGCTCGGACGGCGGCGTGCTTTCGCCGACCGGTTCCATCTGGGGATATGGCGGCGACCGACGGGTGGTGGCCAATCTCGCGTGACTAACACCACCACCGTGCAAACTGTCGTCGGCGACAAGGCCCACGTGTACGGTCCGCCGGTTAGAGATATCCAGCCGAGAGCCACAGGGCCGCGGCCTTGGTGCCGCTCCGATGCTCCCCGAGCGGGCATCGGTTCACCGTGCCCGAGAAAGCGGTTACAGACACAGCGGGGCGGGCGAGTGGTGGGGAGGCCCACCCGTGCTGTGAGGCCCGCCCGTGCATGAGGGCCCCACCCGTGCCATGAGGCCCACCCGTGCCGTGAGGTCTGCCACCTGTGCCGTGTCTGCCCGTTCCGTGGGGCTCACCCGTGTTGGGTGAGGTCCACCGTGCCGTGAGGCTCACCCGTGCGTGAGGCTCACCCGTGCCGTGAGGTCCACCCGTGCCGTGAGGCAGCCCCCCCGTGCCATGAGGCCCCGCCCGTGCCATGAGGCCCGCCCGTGCCATGAGGCCCGCCCGTGCCATGAGCCGCCACCTATGCCATGAGGCCCACCCGTACCGCGAGGTCCACCCGTGTCGTGAGGCTTACCCGTGCCGTGATGTGTTGACGGTGTCGCGACATCTATCCGTGTCGTGACGTCGGTTTTTGTGGAAGAAACCCACGCTTGTGCACCTTTGTGAGGCGCCAGCTGCCGCGGCGATCACGTCGCGTCCAGCGGCCGCGACCTTGACCGGGATTCGAACCCGGCCCTCCGCGCCGGAGTCCGGGCTCCCAGCCCACAACGCTCCTGTCGTTACGGCTGTTGTTGGCGCGTGACCGGCGCCCCACCCGCCGCCAGATCCCGCTGAGCGGCTACGCCGGCGCGTCTGGACGTGCAGATACAGGCGAACGGGGCGCGACGCGGCCGGCCGGCCGTGCCTGAGCCTGAGCCTGAGCGCACGGCCGGCGACGGCTCGCGGTTGGCCGGCTTCGCCATCGCCACGTGGGCCGCCGCGCCGCCTACGTGAAGCTGCTCGTGTTCGCAGGTGGGTACGGTGGTGTGCGGGAACGAGGGTTGACCTGCGAGAGGAGCTGCGGGGCGGGGTCCGGTCGTGGATGCGAGCGAAGCGTTCGACGCTGCGGGTGGGGTGGCGAGTAAAGTGGACGGGTGCCGGTGGGGTGCTGACCTCGCTGCTGTTGACTGATAGGGTGAATGCAACGACGAGCGTCTCGACAGATTAGTCTGTTGTCGTCGGTCGTTTTGAAGTGTGCCTGAATTAAAACATGATCTGGGCTGGGAGAAACTTATTCAACGGGCCTCGGTACATGTCGAGAACGAAGGAAGAAGTTTCTCCTGTATCTTCTAAAGCGGTTCACGGGCACTCAGTACCAGAGGCTCAGCAAGCGCTGTGTTGCAAATAAAACAATGAAAAAAGAAGAGTCGACACATTTTTACTGTTGCTAAACCGGTCCACGGGACACGACGTGCCATCTGTGAGCTCCGGCGTCAGCTGAACATTGCCGCGTGTCAGGCTGTGGTCGTTATCCGGCCTTGGATTTCGCCAGCCGCGGGGTCGCCCGTTCCCTAGCGCTCGGCTCGGAAGCTCCGATCTCGGTGATCGGGGCTCTCCGGCCGCCGGCTCTGGCGACCCGCTGCGACCGGTGCAGTGAGGGGAGCGCCCTGCCGCCTCCCCCTCAGATGCGGAGGAGGGAGAGGGGGGGGGGGGCACCACACCTTGCGGTTGACCGGACTCACGCGGCGGGGCCCATTAAGCGGCCTCTACCACGGACCGGATTATGGGGGCGCTGTTATCTCGGCGTCATGGGCTGGGAACCCCGGCCGCGAGGCCTCCTGGCGTGCTCGGATTAATCGCGGCGGCTACCGTGTCGGACCTCCTGCGAGCGTGGGGTGAGTGAGATCAGTACGTGCCCCCCGCACGGCCGACGGAGCGCTTGAGTCGCTGTGCACGGCGGGGTACGGTGTGACGTCATAAGGCGTTCTGTAGCTGCCGCCAGCGCCGGCCGAGGGTGTGACTCGTCGCCCTCGTCGGACTGGTTAGGATTCGAGAGAGGGACATCGTGCCTGAAACGGGGCGTCCGCCGCCGGCCGATCGCCGCCCCGCCGCCCGAACGCCAACAGCACGCGGCGGCCGGCCGCTGCCGCGCGCCCTGCGATTGATGGATGGCCCCGACGGCTGACGCCACCTGGCCGCACTGAGCCGGCCGGCCGGCCGGCCGCCGCGCGCCGCGGACGACCGAGCGAGCGAGAGCTGACTCAGCGTCATCTGCGGAGCGTCACATTCCGCGGCTTTCGCGGCCGCCAGGCGTGAGGCGGCGGGCGAGCGCGACGCGCGGGACCGGCCGCGGCCGCCGAACGACTCGGGCGTCCTGGCGGCGCCGCCGCCCCGGGCCGGCCGCCGCTCATTGTCGTGATGCGGGGGCGGGGCCGGATGACATTGACTGTTTCAGAGAAGCGCCGCGTTTGTTGTCGGCCGTCGCTGCATATTGTGGGCAGTACGCTCCCGCTGGGCGTCGGTGTGTTTTTGCCTGTTAGTAAGCGAACACGAGTTCGAGCGGCGAATCAGGCACGTACGCCTGCTGATGGATATAGCCGATGGCATGCGCTGCTATGCTAGGCTGCTGTGAATATTTTGCCTGATGTCTGTTCTCTTTTAGAAGCCCACTCGTTGCGGTGGAAACAAAAAAAGAACGCGGAAACGTGCATCGCGCTTGCAGATAAAATGGCTGTTACATAACTTGCTTACTATTATGGTCGAGGACTCGGTATCAGTTCATGTTGCGTTTTTGGGGTGACCAGCTGCGTGATGAAACAAGATCAACAACCGGACGGATGCGAGGGGCGCGGCGTAAATGAGTGTACTGCGAAATAATTTAGCTGCGACCCGCTTACCATTATGTGATTCCACGTAATGTACGCGGCGAATACTCCTTCGGAATATCCAGCTCCTGGGTGAGTAGCTTATTTGAACCATGTCTAGCCAATCACGTCTGTTTGCAAACTGGATGCCGTCGCTGAAACCCTGAAGTCGCCATCACCTGCCATCGTGACCAGACGGCTCGCTAGCCACTGATCCTCCGGAGAAGCCGTGCCTTTTTCGGGTCGGGCGCTGCTCAGCGCTGACGAATCGCAGACCAGCTGCCTCGTCACCTGTTCAGCGGGCGCTCTTGACCAAAGCGCGCCCAGACGCGGTGGGGCTGCGGCTGTTTGTCGCCCCCTCCTCTCCGCCCCGCCAGTCGCCGATGTGTGGTGGGACGAACGAGTCCGGGCACGGAACCTACGGTCTCGACGCCCGGCCTCCGAGACTCGCATCTGTACCCCGCTCTGGCCTGCGACCGCCAGGCCTCTGCTGACAGTGGCTCGCACTCAGCCGTCTCAGCCCCGTGTTCCGCTCGCGGAGGTCGTGATCTGTCGATATTCGGGGTCTTCTGTCAGTCGCAGTTGTTCTCTCGCCGTGGTTCACAGTGCCGTCCTTGACTACCACGGCGAGGGTGCGCGCGCCACGCTCCCGCATCCCGTTGTGAGTGGCCGTGTTCCGTTCGTCAGCGGCAGATGTGCCGGTGCCTCGTTCCAGACGCCGGCTGCAGCCGCCCGCTGGCGTCGCACCAGGCGGCCGTCCACCCGGGCCAGCTGGTGCTGAGGCCCGGCGAGACGCGCCAGCTGACGGCTGCCGTGCCGCCCGGCGCGCTCGCGCACGACGCCGGCGCCGTGCTCGTGCTCTGGCGGCGACGAGCTGCTGCGGCGCGAGCTGCGCCAGGGCTCGCAGGTGGCGCCACCGTCGCCACACGCGCCGGCCAACCTGCACGGCGTGCATTTCCAGGTGCGTGTTGGTCCCCGGGCGGGTTCGCTCCTGGCTGGGAATGGGGACCTTTGCCACGTGCAGTTTCAGGTGTGTGTCGGCCCCCTAGCCAGGGTCGCTCGGGGCTTGGAATGGGGGACCCCTGCCCTGTGCAGTTCCAGGTGCGCGTCGTCCTCTGGGTGGAGTCGCTCCGGGCTTGAAAATGGGGTCCTCTGTCTCCTGCAATTTGGGACACATGCCAGTCCGTGTTGCAAAGTTACATTGGACTTAGATACACAGGTGCTCGGAAAGCTCAAGGAAAGACGGAGGTCAGTGTTGGACCAGAGCGGACTTGATGGACAGCGGTGGGCCGAGGTGGTCGTGGTGGGCTTGGGTGGTCAGCGTTTGCGCCAGTTAACTGTCCTATTTGGTGGACGAGTCCAATAGAAGCAAGCTGTGTTTTATACGCCCTTAGCAGGACGCCGCCGCTGTGTCTTTGTTTTACGCACGATGACCCCAGCGGCCGGAGGTGCGGAAGCGGGTGGAGCAGCTGCCAGCGGTCTGTGCGAGCCTCTTCCACACCGGTGGCTGGCTGAGGACCTCGGCATTCGTCATGACCCGTCGTTGCTGTCGTTCGCGCGACAGGCGGTCTTCGAAGGCGAGCAGCCCGGCGCCCTGGAGGGCATGCCGCTGGGGATCCCCGTCTCCAAAGTGCAGGAGGTGTTCTTCGCCAACATGAAGCAGACCCAAGCTCCCGCTCATGCGTGAGTGCCGCTGTACACCACAGTGTCATGTGCAAGACTGCGTGCATCCTACCTTATTGTTTCTAGTGGTGTGGGGTTACTTCACGCACGGTGACTTCGACGTCCCGACTGTAAACTAGACTTCTTTTCACCTGCTGACGGCAACAGACAGCCAACAAACGAAGCTGGTGCCTGCGGGCGCCGCACCGGCTGGCTGGAGCGCTCCACAGCGCGGGTCTTCGCTTGTCCAGCGTCATACTGGACACGTTGCGTGGGTTCTGGTGGGACGTCCTCTGGCGGTGCACGCGCCCCGCGGGCTCGTGGCGGGCGCCGCTGATCGTCCGGCCCGGCTTCAGACATGGAGGCGCGGCCGCCGGCGACCGCGGCGCCTCCGCAGCAGCAGCACAGCAACAGCAGCAACATCAACAGCAACAGCAGCACCATCAACAGCAACAGCAGCAACAAGCAGCAAGCAACAACAACAGCACAGCAACAGCAACAGCAGCAGCACAGCAGCAGCAGGAGCTGGTCGGCGGCGTGCCCCAGTCGAGGTACCGGCCCGCCGCGGCACGCGGCAAGATGTCTTAGCTCCGGACCACACGGAGCCACTGGAAGGGAGCGGGGTGGCAATGGAGCGTGTCTCCACAGTCGGGGTACTCTGCCGGCACCTTCCAACTGTGTCCGACTCCGAGCTTGAAGCGTTCAACGCTGACACGGCGTTGACACTTGTCGTGGTCAACAGGAGATGACCTGATGGCTGGCCTTCGGCCCCTGTCCGGCGTGTCCCTGCGTCACCGATGTTGTGATTAGCGCACAGTTCACATCCTGTGTCTGATCAGGTGCCGTCGTTTTCAGAAATGGCGCCTACACGGCTACTGGTCACGCGATAATTCAGGAGCACGTGCCTCGGCAAACGGTACGTGGCATGACCCGGTACTCTTCAATGGTCCGATCATTCCCCGAGCCTGGAACGTCTGGAACGCACCAGGCACATGTCAGGCGAAAGAAACCGGCATTTTATCGAATTACACGACATGCATGCCCTCTGCAAACCTCTCTCTCTCACGTCGTGTGACAGTTATTTGCATCCGGGACCGTGCCGGCCTTTCTTGCAATGACCAGGAACTAGCATGACTTGTGACCAGCCAGCGTCACCTCTCTGACATCTGGCCCGTTTGGCTCCTCCGGCTAACCCGCGCCATGACCCCAGCGTGGCCCCCACTCCGTCGCGCATTTAACTGGTCAAAACGCAGCCCTGATGTGCGCTGCGCATCCGCGCTTGACACGTCCCCTTCCCCGGCACAGCCGTTCGGTGTGTCCCATCGCCTGACGTGCCATCAAGCACGGCTGTTGATGCCAACGGCCGCGCCGGAACCGTCCCGCCAGGCTCTACCGGAGCTGACCCCGCGGCTGACCTCGGCTCCGCAAGAGCTGACCCCGCGGCTGACCTCGGCTCCGTCGGAGTTGACCCCGCGGCTGACCTCATGCTCCGTCGGAGCTGACCCCGCGAGTGACCAGCCCATGCTCCGCAGGAGCTGACCCCGCGGCTGACCTCATGCTCGGCTGGAGCTGACCCCGCGGCTGACCTCATGCTCCGTCGGAGCTGACCCCGCGAGTGACCAGCCCATGCTCCGTCGGAGCTGACCCCGCGACTGCCCTCGGCTCCGCAGGAGCTGACCCCGCGGCTACCCTCATTTTCCGATGGAGCTGACCCCGCGCGGGGACCGGCCCGTCAGGCTTCGCCGGCTCTGACCCCGCGACTGATCTCCCCAGGTTCCGCTGGAGCTGACCAAGCGCGGCGCGTCGCCGGCCGGCGGCGCGGCCGGTGTGCGGCCGCCGGCGCCGCGGCCGCCGCCGGTCGCCGCCGACGCCGGCTGGTGGCCGCAGCCGCCGGGCGTGGAGCAGCTGGTGACAGACAACGGCCAGGCCAAGCTGCGTCTCTCCACCAACCATCTGATGTTCCCGCGAACGTCGCTGGGCGTGCCGCGCGCGCTGGCGCTGCAGGCTGACCAACCTCGGCGACGACGTGCTCAAGTGGAACATCTTCGGCTACAGTGTGCCCTACCTGGTCACGGTGAGGCGCGCCGACCCAACCTCGAGGGGGAGGGGGGGGGGGGGGGGTTCCGATCAGGCGGGGACAGGCTCGCCCGGCGGATGTTAGTAGTTGTGATTGACGGTTGTGAGCTGCATTGTGGGAGTGTGAGTCATTATGTGGTGGGTGGTGTGTGATGGATTCCCAGGAGATTGCATCTCCGAGATTCCTCGCAGGGTCCCGTATCTCCGCCCAGAGTTGAATGCGGAAGTCGGGACGTTTCCAATCGCCTGGAATATTTCCTCCAATGTTTCAGCAGTGCTCTGTGCGAAAACTAACCATGTTACCTGCTCAGACCCTCCATCCTACGTGACGGACTGCCTTCCCTCGATCCCGCGCGGGCCGCGGCGCTGCCCTGACCGTGCGACCGTGCTCCGCCAGGGGGTCAACGCCATGGTCAAGTGCGGCTACGACGTGTTCAAGATGCGGCCGCAGGACGGCCTGGTGAAGCCGGGCCAGACGGCGGTGCTGCAGGTGACCTTCAGCCCGCCCTACCCCGGCCAGCTGACGGCAGCTCTTCCAGATGCTCTGCAAGCCGGCCAAGGACATGCCGTGAGTGGGAGGCGGCTGGGGGCGGCTGTGCCGACCGCGCCGGCTGAGCCCGTCGGAGGGGCCCCGATGGGCCTGGCCGTGTCTGGCGAGACGGTCAAATACGACGCACGACGTCGGTGCGGGCGTTCGCTCTGCCAGCAGCAGCGCACGCATTGGTGCAGTCACGGATGTGTGTGAGGCCCGTGTCTCCTCTGCAGGGGGATGCCGATGGTGGTGTACACGCTGCTGGTGCTGCTGTCTGAGGCTCGTGTCTCCTCTGCAGGGGATGCCGATGGTGGTGTACACGCTGCCGGTGCTGCTGCCTGAGGCCCGTGTCTCCTCTGCAGGGGGATGCCGATGGTGGTGTATACGCTGTCGGTGCTTGCTGTCTGAGGCTTGTGTCTCCTCTGCAGGGGGATGCCGATGGTGGTGTACACGCTGTCGGTGCTGCTGTCTGAGGCTTGCGTCTCCTCTGCAGGGGGATGCCGATGGTGGTGTACACGCTGCCTGTGCTGCTGTCTGAGGCTCGTGTCTCCCCTGCAGGGGGATGCCGGTGGTGGTGTATACGCTGTCGGTGCTGCTGTCTGAGGCTTGTGTCTCTCCTGCAGGGGGATGCCGATGGTGGTGTACACGCTGCCGGTGCAGGTGTCAGGGCCGCGGCAGTGTGCTGAACGAGGGCGAGGACGAGTCTGACCTGCTGGCGGCGCCGCTGCAACGTGTCCGAGGACTACCTCTTCTTCCGACACTGGTCCATCTGCCACAAGCTCGAGGTCACCAACAAGACCGCGCGAAAACATGAACGTGAGTGCGTGGCTCGGATTCGGTGGGGATCGAAATGGGATGTCCGAACTGCTAACCGTGTCATAGCAGCGAGAAATGGGGCATTTATGTTGTGGGTAGCAGATTGGTAGTTGGAGTAATAGACTGGTTCCGGCCTTTTCGTGCATGTTGTACCATGACGCCGAGGATTAGGGCGCGCGGTGCACCGCGTGCACCGTGCATGTCCGACGGGTGGGCTCATGTAGTGTTTCCAGCGCAGGGTCATAGTTTCACAGTGAGGTAAGGGGACAGGGGAGCACTGAGCAATGGCGCAACATATCCCGAAAATACGCCAACACACGGGATTCCCCTCTGATTTGCCTCCTCTTTTTTGGATAGTTGGGGCTCCCCCCCCCCCTCTGATTGGAAACTACATCCCTGCTCCAGTGTCCCCGCCTAAGCACTGCTGTCTGACCAGTGAGCTCATGCGTGCCTCTGTGACCCTCTGTGACCTGTGGGACGACCTGCCGTGACGTGTGTTGATCTGCCGTGACCGTCCGCCAGGTGGAGTACTGCGTGACGGGACCGTTCAAGGTAGTGGCCGGCCCCAACGAGCACAGTCTGACCGACCACACGGAGGGCACCATGCTGGCGCCGTCGCAGCGCTACGTCCAGATGTCCGTCTACTTCTGCCCCAAGCTGGCCGGCTCGTTCTCGGGACAGCTGAGGCTGTCGCTGAAGAACTCGACGTGGCGCCACGCCGTGCGGCTGGAGGGCACGTGTGAGGACGTGGACGCGCTGCTACAGTCGCTGCTGCCCGGTGACCCGTAAGCGGAGCTGTGGGCTGAACCGGTAGCCGAGCCAACGGGCAGCCGAGCCGAACGGGCAGCCGAGCCGGGCCCGCAGCCGAGCCGGACCGGTAACCGAGCCGAGCCGACAGCCGAGTCAAAGCAGCGGCCGAGCCGAGCCGGGCATGCAGCCGAGCCAAACCGGCAGCCGAGCCGAGCCGAGCCGAGCCTGCAGCCGAGCCTGCAGCCGAGCCTGCAGCCGAGCCTGCAGCCGAGCCGAGCCGAGCCGAGCCGAGCCGAGCCGAGCCGAGCCGAGCCGAGCCTGCAGCCGAACCGGGCTGGCAGCCGAACGGGGTCGGTAGCCGAGCCGAACCGGCAGCCGAGCCGGGCCGGCAGAGGTTGCGGCAGTGTGTTGGCAGAGAGGCGAAGGACAGTATCAAACTGGGCCCGGGGCCTGGAGCCGGCCCGACCCGGAGACCGTGTGGGAAACAGGAGCCAGCCCGGCCCGGAGACCGTGTGGGAGCCAGGGGCCGGGCCGACGGGACCATCTGTAGTGAGCGGCGACCCGCCGCCACCTGTGCCCCTCAGCAGTAGTGAGCGAGGTGTCGGTCCCGACGGCTGGGGAGGCGCCGGCCGCACGGCCAGCTGCCGGCCGCCGACCGTCGAGCGGTGCACCTGCTACCGTCTGTGGTCCGCGCGTGTTCAGCTGGCGTTGCGCTACCCCTCCAGTTGAGGGGTAGCGTCCTGTGGGTTGTCGCTGCTCTGACCCCTAATGATCGACCCGACGGCTTGGATGCAGCCAAGCTGCCGTTGATTCTTTCAGTCGTGTCGACATCTTCGGTTAGATCTTTTAAGTGATTGGGGTTTGCATGGTCGTGTCGTAGAATGTATTTTTGTACGCCCGTAGTTATTATTTCGTGTTACGGTGTTATTTATTGCACGAGGCATCTGTCCTCGTGCATGGGTTACAGGGCTGCTGTATGGCAGTGCCAGTGGCTGGCTGTCACGTGTGCTGGAAAACTTATCAGATGACATGTTTGCTTCTGTATTTAGGCCTCCGAGGCTGTGAGACACTATCTGTATTGTAGTCTGTTGTTTTGGATGCATGTTCCTGCGTTTATCGACAGCAAGCTTACTGCGCTATTTTACGAGCATGATTTACCCAGCATCGACCTTGTCTTAATGACCTGATGAGGGCTGCGCGCTGTATCATCCCGGCAGCATCCGCGCAGTGCCGTCTGCCTGTTCCTCGCCGATCTTCGCCACCATGTATTGTCGCCGGCCGATTGGCTGTTGTTGTTGCACCATCATATCACCGGGAATGTTTGAGGTAGGCGATATTTGGTTGCCCTCTCCCAAGCGTGCGTCAGTGGCGGGCCCGGTATTTCTTTAGACGTGTAGTGTCGTGCTGGCCATGGCTGGTCAGGCACCCCGCGCCACCGTCTCGTCGCGTTCGTTCGTGTAGTCCCGGTGTCTTCTGCGTCGCGGCCCGGTTGGACGCGCGCTAGTGTGTGCATGCACTGCCCTTTCCGACCCTCTCCCTTCCCGAGAATCTCGCCGTGCGTGCGAGCGTCCGCTGCGGCCACAGGTCCCCTGAGTTCGGAATGTTGCTGCCGCCCGCTGTCTCCGGGTGTCTCCGCCGTCGTGGTGTCTGGCACTACTCGTGTCGAGAGGCGCGCTGTGTCGCTGCCGGACGCCGACTTGGCCGTGTGCGGCTCATCACAGGAGACGCCGCCTGCCGTGGGGAGCGTGTGTCACTGCCTCGCCTGCCTGCTGCTTGCCAGCCCGCCGGCCAGGAAAGACTGGGCATGGCGCCCTGGCGGATATGGTGGAATCACTAGTGCCGCAAGCGCCCGCCACCGGCGCCGTCGAGCGGAACTGATAAAGACATCTCCGTGCTGTAAAATGGTCCATCGTTATGGAAAATATATTTTTTGAAGTGGTTGCCCAATAAATTTGCTCACATATGACTTGGAGTTGAAAGACAGCAATTGCGTGTCAAAAATTCGACCGAGCGACGTGATTGACGGCCATGCTGTTTTCCGTTCTGTGCTGGCCCGGCGATTGCATCAAGATGTCGCGGGGCCTTGAACGGTAAGAGTTCGAACGCTTCTAGGAATGGCTCAGGGCTTACAAGAGCTCGGAGTCGACTGCTCATATACGCTGAGCACTTCATAGTTGCAAAGGGTAGCAGAAATGTGAGTGTGAGCAGAAGTCCTGGGGGAGGTGAGGAGAACGGATTTCGGTTCAATTTTTGACATGCAACGTCACGTACCATTTTGCGTTTGATGTGGGGATGAGGTGTCTCGACGGACCAGGTCCCCACGCCGCCAAGCTCCCACGCCGTTACGCCCAGATTAAATCTGCCTGCCACAGCATAACTGTATGACGGCAATGTAAGGGCCCCTCGAATGGGTCATACAGTGGAGAAGTATATGAAGATGCTGAACATACAATTGCACTGACCATGGGGTGTAAAACAATGTGAACGGGTGTGACAACCGGACGAATGCAGTGGTAGACATTCACCCTGCGAAGAACAAACATGCCGCATGATGAAATAATATAAAAACTGTTACTTTGATTTCAAGCTGCATTCCGTTAAGTGGCTTCCGGCAAAGCATTACATTTTTTGTTGTTACTGTCAGTTCGTGATCAACACTCATTCTCTGTAGGTACTTAATGGAACAATGTTTGACCCAGCTCTATGGCCTTGAGTTTAGTCAGCTGACGAAGATTGCCTCCGTGCCGTTGTTTATTGCTTTTCTCTACGAGCCGTGGCGCGCGCTGGCAGTACGCTCAGAGGTCCGTTGGGGCTCGCGGGGCGCGTGTCGGTGCTTGCTGCGGAAACGACGTGTCTTGCGCGTGTCGTTTCCGATGGGTTTGATGATAACGACTGTTGTTGCTTTTAATATTACCGGCGGACAGTAAGTGGTTACCGGAAAGCGTCTTATCAGTCACAAGCCTAGGAACACCGATCAAAGCTCCACGATTTGGCCCACGGTCAGCAAGCAAGGTGAGGTCGCGACTGTTATGACTATGATTTGTTATCCAGAGGTGTAGAGATGTCTTCAAACTTCATTAAAAGTGGGAAGGCAATGATCCACTGGCCTCTACAACGTCCATGGCTGTTAGGTAGGCGTGCCAAATTGTTTTAAGAAACCGTGCGGTGTACGATGGTGATGCCGGTATATCTAAGCTCCATTATTGGTATGTGTGAGAGCTTTGGGCTGGGGTTATCAGCAGGGGAAATTGATTCAGTTGGTTGTGATTGATGAAAACGGTTGTTGGGATGTAAGTACCTGCGGTCTAGTGGTTGCCATTGTTTGTACAGTACACATTTAGCAGGTTTACTCTGTGTTATCAGGGTTATGTAAATAGGTAAAGTTACCTAAGTGTGTAATATCAATCACAGAATTTGTTTCAGAGATGTCTCATTTCAATATGATGTTTGGGAAGGCTTCATCAGGGCTTAGATGGCACATGTGGCTTGCTCTTAATACTACCATGGATACTCAAAAGCCATCATTGAATTCGTTGTTAGATAAATGGAAGTATTGGAAAATGCACTAGGGTAGATGTAAAAAAATACAGTTACATGTGCATGCTAGCACCTGAAAATTTTCTTTTCTGTTTCAGATGGTTTTCCTGAACTGAAGAAACAGGACATAAACTGAAAAGTTTCACTGACTTCAGCTTACTGAAACAACCTGACAATGGAGCCTGTAACTATCCAGCTCTTGGAGAGCATTGCCAAGGACAAGGATGCCTGCAGCCTGATGGCATCGCTCTTCCAGACAGTCACCAGTGATATGAAGGTAAGCCATCAGATGGGGTCTGAAGTTATATGAAATGTGGTAACTATTTGATGTGTATTTTAAACCAAAGGTGGGCTGCATTTAAACCCAAGATAAGTTGATTGGACCATGCTCCTCCCAAAAACTGGACCATACACACCTGAGGCACATTTAGGGGGGTTGTCAGCAAACATTTGAGCTGTGCCCCAGCCCCATCACAAAATCTTTGATATCACTAATAATTTGTCAATTACATTCAATAAAATATGCTGGTTGATATCCCAAGCTCATTGCTTCATTTGACCTATTTCATAGTAGACATTAGCTGTGTTATCAGTATATAATGTATGGTAATTTTTACAAGCCACTGAAGGACACAGCCACCTTAGTTTAGGTCACAATGTTTGCATTGAACTGTGGACAGCCAATTCTTGTTTTTATGATCAAAATTTCATGACCAAAGTTGTTCTGAAATAAGATTGAGCTGACTTTGGCCATTATCTCTGCCAGGGTGAAGCTTTCATGGATCATAAAGTGTGTGAATCATCTGATAATCCATGCATTGGGAGGACTGGGTGAAGTTGGCTTCAAAACCAGTGGACTAAGATTGTGAATGAGACTTGCAAGTTGAGCAATCTGGGTGGATAATGTAACTGAAGGTCTGACTGGACATGTAAATGTTACTAAACCATGCATGAAAAGTTGCCATGCAAGCTGCCCTTGTGATTGTATTTAGGTCAGGCTCAAAACTGGAAGTTGGGGAATATCTCAATCTGCTAGCTGTGACCCAGTTAATTTCAGCATTGTAAAGTAGTAAGCAGGACATTGGATTAAAAGCTGTTATACTGAAGGCTAGGTCCATATAAATATAATCCATGCAGAGGTCTAATCCAGCCACACTTGCTCATCATGTATGGACCCAGGGCATGAGATGGCCCAAGTCCCAAGCAGCCACACCAGATGGATGGCTGTCGCCTCCACCTAGCGAGTGCTGCGTGGTCGGACTATAGGGCCCCTGCGGCCGTCGCTGCGCACGGTCGGACCCCGGTATCCCGCCGCGGCCCCACCGTCCAGCGGAGCCGGGCGCCTTCCGTCGGGCCGTCGCGGGACAGCCGCCGACCGCCGGGATCCCGTGCGCCGCTCGTCCGGCGCGCCGTCTGCCGGCCAGCCGCCGGACCTGCCGGCTGTTGTGTCTGTCCAGTCCGGCCCGTGTTTGTTGAACTGGATCAATATCGATACAGCGCGCCGCCGGCTCGCGGCAGGCGTTGCGACAGAAAGGCGGCGCCGGTGGGCGTCCGTTGCGGTCGGCACTCACGTGCCAGTGGCCGCCTGCCCTTCGCCGCGGGCCCGGCGCGATTGTCGCGTCTCCACGGTCGCCGCACGCTGCTGCGCGCGCGGATGGAGATGCCTTCGCGGCCGGCGCCGCGGCGTCCGACGCACGCGCGCGACTGTCAGCCGGCGTGATGGAGAAGGGAGGCGCCAAGGCTCGCCGCCGCTCGCAGCGGCGTCCCGCGGCCCGTGGCCGTGACCCGGCCCCGCTCCACGGCCGGCCCAGTTTGAGCCGGCCCCGTTTGCGGCCGCCGCACGGAGGGCCCGCGCGCCGGCTTGTCTCTGGCCAGGTGGTGGCATCCGGCAGGTCCGATGTCTCCAGGGCACCTGGTGCCTCTGGTCTGTCAGAGGCCTCCACTGCATGACACGTCTCGGGCTGCAACTGGTGCACCGGCCTCGCTGACCCGTGGCATGTCTCCAGTCTTTGGCACCCGTCCAGCTGGATGAGACATCTCGTGCTCGTGATTTTCCCGTGGCGCGGGTCGTGCCCGATGCACAGAGCCTCGTCTGGCCGCGGAGACGCCTCCCGGCCGCCGCGCGTCGCCCAGCTGTTACGTGGGCCACGGTCAATGGGCTGTGACGTCACTGTGCCAGGTGCGGCGCGCGGCGGCCGTCTCCACCGCAGCGGAGGCGGGCCGCCGGGATCCGGTGGCGGGCCACGCCTGCCGCCCGCCGCTCCGGGTTCCGGCCGGACGTCGGAGCGGCGGGGGGCGGCGCCGCCGAGGGCCGGAAGCGAGCGTTCACGAGCATCACGTGCCGGCTGACCCGTTCGACGCCCGGCCGCCGGGCGGCCCGTGACCCGCGCGGCCCCGTTACGGCGCCGGCAGCCGCGGGCCGAGCGGCGGCCCGCCCGCCGCCGCCGCCGCCGGCAGGCTGAGAGATACGGGATATCTGGGCTAGCCGGGCGGGGACGCGAGCGCTCCCACGCGGCCGGATCCGCCGGAAAGCGAACCGGTGGCCTACATGGCGGCGGGCGGACGTGATTCGCTGCCGCGCGTGGATGTTGCAAGCACCGTAGCCGGTCACGGCCGTGAGTACGGGTACGGCCTGATGACTCCGCTCGTTGTGAAAGTGGTCGGCCGTGGTTTTGCTGCCGACTCCGGCATGATGTGGACCTGATAGCGCGCGCTGTTTCACAATCTGGCCGCGCCGTGTCGGTGGAGGTTTTTTATCGTGATTGATCAATGAGCGGCCCGGCCCTGTTGTATCCAGACTGTGTCGGACGTGGTGCACGTTATCCTAGGGCCTGTTACGGATACGGGAATGTCGAAGAGTATGCGCCGGTGTGTGATCCGCATCAAATTGGGCTATCTTTCGCGTACGGAGTTTGTTTGCAATCTGTGCGTGACGGGGAAAGTTGAGTCGCTCGCGAAAACGCCGATGGGACAACCGTAGCTTGTCGTTCAGTGCCGCTGGGTTGTAACGGAAAGCCCAGAGCGGCGCGTTAGTCACATTTACGCCGTGAATTGGTGTTCCTAGTGACGCGGTCTGCGGCTGAAAATCAGACTGTTGGGACATGGGGATTTTTTTTGTTGTACCATTACCTTCCCGTGACGTTATCATTGACCCCGAGCTGTTCATTTATCTGCGCTGGCGCCAATCCTTGCGGGGGTATCACAGGTGCGGTCAAAGCAGCATGCACGCTTGAAAAAAGAATAAGGCATGCGTGTTCAGGCGCCTTCTATTTGTCCGTCGTGAATACACCGACCGCGGCTGGCACGTGTCAGTGCTGACCTTTGCCGTGACGGCCGGGCTAGCTGGGCCCTGCCTATCGCCGGCGTTTGGTGCGCCGCTGCTCGCAGACACGGGGGGCGCTGCCAGACTTAGGTGGCACGGCCAGGCAACGGGAGGCAACGGGACGGCAACTAGCAGAGACATGCGGAACGGGCAAGCTCTCCTCAAAATTGATATGAAGTATTCCATTGGTGCGTACTAGCAACACATAAACGCCGCCCGCCGGTTCTTCCAGCGCAGTGATTCTGAAAAAATCGTGCGACTTCGCGTCCATTGGCAAAACAGTGTCGAACCGAGCTTTGGACCGGGTGCCAGAGAATGTACAGTGTGTATCATCACTCGCTGGTGTGTCACTACAGCGTTCCAAAATGCATCCAGCAGAGTTTGCAAATGTGAAATATCTGTATTAATGCGTTCATAATTTTGGTTTCTCGGGGCTCTCCGAGTAATTCGTTGGCTGCTAATACCGCTGCCCTCTGACGTTGAACCCTGGCATCTGTCGGGTCCGGCCGGTTCGCCAAGCCCGGGTTGCCTAGATGCTGGGTTGACCGCCGCCCGGTTCAGTACTGGTTCGCCAATCTTGAGCAAGGGGAGGAGCAACAGGCAGTGAACCCGGAGCTGGGAGTGGAGTGCGATGGCACGAACAAATATCGACATCTCGCCACTCAGTTGACCAAATATTGAAACAGTGTTACCACGGCTCGGGGCCCGTCACCTCCACCGACGGCCGCCCACCCATTCCGCCCCCGGCCCGACCGCCCTCGCGGCGTCGTGCCGCAGGGAGGCCAGGCCGGCACCGATGAGAACGGCCGGCCCGCTCGCCAACGACTGGGACCGAGTTCGGGACGGCAGCCCCGACCGCTCTGTTTTGCCGCCGCCCGCACTGTTTATGCCGCGCGGACCGGACGCGACGCGGCCGCTTGTCGCCATGGCGACGGAGCGGAGCGGCGTGTGGTGAACCGGCGACTGTCCCATCGGACGAGCTGAGCTCAGCTGCCGACCGCTGCTGACGCTGCGCTGTGGGGCAGGGGGGGGGGGGGGGGCTGGGACCGGTCAGGCTGGCAGAGGGGACACCCGACCGATTAACTGGCCGGACGCAGGACCCCGGAGACCGGTTCCTGGTACGATCTTGTCACCGCACCTTTGTAACGTAAGCTCACTTAGCGGCAGGCGGCATGTGACGACATAGCGGCTTGCATCAACTGGTTCATTCACTGACTCGGCTACGGGTGGCGGTAATTGAGAAGCTGTTTTGCGTTTAGTTTGCAGACGTTTAACACGGCGCTTTCACCACACGGTGATTATGTACCGACCGATGGACGATAATTACGTGGAAGAAGCTGTTGCAAAGCAATCGATTACTGGCCATCGCTGTTTGCAGCCAACGAAGCGTGTTACGTTTGATGGTGTTATTGGCTGTGGGAACGCGAGGCTCGTTTACTATTTGTGTTGCGTTAAGATAGCGTCGTGCCCAAGCTCTGGGCTGTAAAGACATGTACAAAAACGGCTCGTCTCTGACCAACAGGGCTCCCAACCGGTGTGGGAGGACTTCGCCAAGCAGGCCAACAAGCTGCACATATGCCTCAGGTGAGTGGCGCTCGGTCGGCGGTGGCCGGTGTCGCCGGTGCGAACACCCGCAAGACCTGTCCCCGCCGGACATGCTGTGGAGTGTGCACGCAGCGAGAAGTGGTCCTGACACGCTGTCGTGGTGTCACGTGGTGTCACGTGCGACACGATCGCCTGTCGGGCGGTCTTTTGGTGCGCTGAGCGCTTGTGTGAATAGTTTCGGACCCCTCTGGCGCTCCAGTGTCGCGGAGGGATCGTCGGAACACTGGCGCGGGCGTGGGCTTCGCGAAGCGGCTCCTGGCTCGATGTCGTGACTCGAGAAATGTCGCAACGGGTTGGGCTCAGGCCTCAGGTCGCCGGCGCCGCCTGCATGTTTCATTACTGATCGACCGAGACGCCGCGCGCCGCCGCGCCGGGACCCGTTTGCGAGCCACAAAGTGGTTCGGCACGGAGCCCAGCTGGGCGGGCGCGGACGACGCTCCTCCGAGACGTCCGCTAACGGGTCATCGCCATTGACCGGCGGCCACCGCACTCGATACTCCGCGGCCGCGGCATCGACCTTGCCCGTGCCTGCTGGCGCGGCGTGCGGGCGCCGAGCGGCGGCGAACTGGCCCCGCTCGGCCGCCCGTCCGGCCGGCGGTATCGATTGCGGAGGTCACCTGGATAGCCAGACGGCTGCCGGTGTTGATAACGCGCCGCATTGGAACGGCCCGGAGCTCGGTGACCCTCCGTCGTTGAACCCGCCGGACCTTGGTGACCCTTCGCCGCTGACCCAGCCGGACCCTTGGTAGCCCTTTTGCGCTGAACCGCCGGGATCTTCACAACCGTCCGTCGCAGAGGCTCTCTGACCTTGGTGACCCTCCGCCGTTGACCCATCCGGACCTTGGTGACCCTCCGCCGTTCAACCATCCGAACCCTGGTAGCCCTCCTACACCGAACTGCGGGGATCTTCACAACCTTTCGCCGCTGAGGCCCCCGACCCCAATATCCCTCCACCCTTAATCCATCGGACCTTGGTGACTCGACGCCACCCGCACTTTAGAGCGGTTCTTGTCCCAACTCCGAGCCCCATGACACGCATTCCGGTGCGCAAAGCGAACCTACAAGCGCGGCAGCACGGTCCAGCGGCACCCAGTCCGCGGCCCGCCCGGGCATGAAAACGGGCTCGCGTGCTGCGCTGGTGCATGCGTGTTCGTCACGGGCTTATTGTCGTCGATTAGGATCGAAGCTCCAAAGCACCACCGGTACCATGAAGCGGTCCAGTGGCCCCGTGAGTGGCTTTGTCCTGTTCACTGGACAGCCGCTGGCTGTCGTCAGGCCGCCACGGGACTGGGGACCAAGGGTGCCATAAAATGTCCCGGCTCGTGCTGTGTAGCGTGGCACCATTCCCGAGAGAGAAGGTTTTTACTTCCTTTATTACGGGGCACAGTGGCGGATTTGTCCCCGAAAATAAACCGAGATTACTAAAGATGGCAGAATTCATTTCATGGTCACGTCAAATTTGGAAGAGCTGCCAATTATTTTCACCGCGTGTCTCGGAGACCGGAACACAACTCCAGCCGCCACTCGGCGAAGCTCGGACCATCTACGGCCTCCACGGCGTTTCATTATCGCGCAGCGCTCGTTAGTGGGCCGAGCCGGGCGCGGGCGTCGGGTCAGAATCAGCGCTCCTGATCGCGCGCGAGGAAGCCGCTGACCCGGATCGGCGCCCGGCGCGGGACCGCGCCCTCGCGGCCCGGCGCCGCGCCGTACGTCGTCCAGCCGGCCCTCCCAGCACCGCTCTGCCAGTCGATGAACGCACACCCCCCCGGCAGGCCGATCTGCCACGACAGACGTGATCGACGCCCGCTCAGCGCCGATGCGGGGGGGGGGGACCCCGAGACCCCGGGCGCGGGGTGCCTGACCTGCCGAGGGCCGGGCTCTGGGAGGCTGAGCCGGCCCAGCCGGAGCGGGGAAAAAGGCAGACCCCGAGGGCTCGGGCGGGGTGGCGTTGGAGATCTCTCCTCTCCATCTCTCTCTCTCTCTCTCTCTCTCTCTCTCTCTCTCTCTCTCTCTCTCTCTCTCTCTCTCGCTCTCTCTCTCTCTCTCTCTCTCTCTCTCTCTCTATCTCTCTCTCTCTCTCTCTCTCTCTCTCTCTCTCTCTCGCTCTCGCTCTCTCCGCTCTCGCGCTCGCTCTCTCGCGCCCTCGCTCGCGCCTCGCGCTCTCGCGACTCGCCCTCGCGCCCTCCTCTCGCTCTCTCCTCTCGCACGAGTGACCTCATAAAACGCATGCGCAGTTCCACACGCCGAACTGACGCCCACCTTTATTGCCACATCACGGAGCTGCGTCCATGACATGCGACCGGTGACGTGTCAGCGGGGAGTAATTCCGCCAACGCCGGCCGGGACATGCCCTGACAATACGCCAGGTGCGGGTCATCTGCGGCACGATCCGCGTGTGTGTCGCGTGGCCGGCCGTGTTCGGATGGCCGCGGCCCTGCTCGTGCCGGGCGGCCCCGCCCGGCCTGTGACGGGCACAAGCGTCTGGCGGGTCACGCCGCGCGGCCCCGCCGAGATATTGTCCCAGCGGATCACGCAACGCCCGCCGCCGGATCCCGCTTTCGGCGAGGGCACGCGATGCGGCGTCGCCCGTCGCGGCCGGCTGTGCGCCGCGCCGGCGCTCGGGGCGCCCGGCCGGCGCCGGCCGGCGGCGGCAGCGCTGCCTGCTGGAGCGGAACGTCGCAGCGGTCGGCGCGACGCACCGCTAGCCGATCTCCACTTTAGATTGTCGAGTCGTTCTGTGGAATAACCGCGGATGGCGCGGATGTGCTCGCCGCCATCTGGTCTGACAGGTCGCTGGGGCCGGCTTGTGCTGGTGTTGACGGTGCACTCGGCTGCGGGGATCGTTAGTGAGGGCATCATCACCACCGGTTGTTTTGGGAGAAGATAAAACTGTCAACTACTGGCCAGATTCGAAGTGGTAGGCGGTCGCCCTGGACTATAACCTTGGGCTCGTTTGCTTACTCCGTACGGTGCAAACATGGCACCGTTTAGAAGGGCGTGCCATGCAGATCAGGCCGGTCAGCGTCGATGGCCATGTTTATACGGTCCGAGGGTGCTCGGCGTACTGCGCTATACAGCGTCAATAAAACCAGGCGCCGTCACAGACATTAGGGCACTGCGGTTGTCTGTTCCGATTCGGGTCGTAAACAGGGGCGGAGACCGTTCCGTGCAGCATTTCATCATGCCCGAGCCGTCGGCTCACTCCGCCGTCCCCTCACTCGGCAGGGCGCCGTCCACGTGGCTGTGGCCAGCCGTGTCGGCCGCGATGACGGACGCGTCGCCGAGGAGCCGAGGAGCTCTGGCGCGGCGTCGTGTGCCGCCTCGCTGTGTCATCAGCCGGGGACACGCCCTCCCGAGCCGGTGTCATCAGCCGACGCCCCCCTGGGGCCGGTCGAGGGGTGGTCGGGCCGCGCCGGTCGTGACCCGCGGCGTCCCGGTCAGCGCCGGGTGACCGTGGTCCGCCGTCGGCGGCAGGCGCTCGGCGGCGCCACAAACAAACGGGACGTCGGAGCCAGGCGCGCCGACAGACGGCCGTGTCGGGCCGGCGGTGGCTGCGGCGCGGCTGCTGTCACCCGGTGACCTCCCTGCGGTCGCGTGCAGGTCAAAGGTCGGCCGACTCCGAACCGTTACTGGGCACAGGTGCTTGCGGATGAGGCGACGCGTGGGCGGAGCTGACGCCGACCTGTCGGCCACCATGGGGCGCGACCGCACGAGGGCGGGCGAGGTGCCGCGGCTGGCCATGCTGTCCCAGGGAGGCCGTGACACCGTGACCTGGTCCTGGTGGTGGCATCAGGACCAGGCCTGATAACGCCTGACACGTAATGATCCAGGTCCGCTCGTGATGCTGCTTCAGCTGATGCTGCCTTCGGCGCCGCCCTTGTGTGGGCTCCAGCCGTGGCTGGGCCGCCTCCGATACCGGTACCCCAGCCTTGTCTGAGAAGCTACCCGTGACGGTGTGGCAACCGTGTCTGACTCGACGCCCTCTGCGTTCCAGGAGCACACTGCTGGTGGTGTCGTCCTACCTGGACGCCTTCCAGCGCGTGGCCGACATGGCCACCACCGCCAAAGGTGAGGAAGCGCCGGTAGCGGTCGCAGCACGCTGCCTCGGTCTCGGTAGTGCTCCCCCTGCCGCCGCACGCCGCGTGCTGTACACGCAGACGTGTGCTTTGCGTGGCCCGCCAGCCGCCGCGGACCGGCGGCACCGAAATTACCGACGAGCCGCGCCGTCACGCCAGCTTTTCCCTCAAGTGGCGGCGGCGGCGAAGTCCGCTCCGCGGGCCGACAAAGGACGCGACCCGGCCGTGTCCCAGATCGGAGCGGTGCGCACAATCGCGCCGCGGCGGCGGCGGTGCGCGCCCGGGGCGGCGGAGCGGGCGCGGCGCCGCCCATTCAGCTGCCGCCTGCGGCGGCCGGCTGCGCGCTGTTTAAAGCCCCCGCAAGATCCTTGGAGCGCACACGAGAATGGGCGCCGATGATTGCTTTTCGGCGCCGCGGGGCTTTGCGTAACACGCGAGGAAAACGGTTGATTTTATCGCGTTTCGGGTGTTGTAAACGTAGGCCTGTTTCGGACGGCCGTGTTTGCGTCGTCACGCTATGACGGACCGCAGTGGACGTGAGGGGCCGGCCAGCCGGTATCGATCTGTGTGGTGTACGACTGTCTGGCGTAGTGGCCGTGAAATGCGGCAGTTTATGGCCGCTGCTCCCCACCTGGGGCGGCTGCGGCCGGGGCGGCGGCGCGCGCTGGGAGTCGTGAGCCGAGCTGGCGGCCTCGGGAGGCGGCGTCTCCCCTCGCCGGCAGACAAACGACGCCGTTAGACGCACGCGGCGGCGACGGCCAATTCCAGGGGCCCGCCCTCGAGGGGACGGGTGGACCCGAGTGCCTGTCCGGGGCCGGTCTGATTACCGCGGCGGGCCGGGCAGCGGGCGTCGCCGGAACATTGTTATTGCTGTTATACGGCTGGGCTGAATGGCGGCCTTGTTTGATCAGAACCGGCCAGCTGGGGATCCGGGCCGCTCGCGTAATGCAGCCTTTGGCTCTGGCGCTGTTCCGCTAGGTACCAGATGCGGCCCGGGCCGCAATAAACACCATCAGTGGGAGTTCGGGCGCGATGGCCGCCGGAGGAAGGTCTTCACACCAGCCGCCATCGGCCCGCCTTTGGCTGTTTTCATTGGCCAAAACCGGTTGCGGCCGGCTTTTGCCAGCATTCCTTGGTAAAATATCGGTACCTCGTGACCCCTACCATGCAGACGAAGCATTTGTCACGTAAATCTGGTTGTTTGCCTGTATGGCGTTCGGTGGCGGCCGTCGTCAGCGGTGCTCTTCGGGCACCGGGTGCAAGCGGGCGCTGTCCGCCCCCCGAGCTCACCCGTCACGCGGCCCTGGTTACTGCTGCAACAGGGCTGACTGCGTGTTTACAATAAAGTGCGAATGTGAGTCAAATCCGCACCGCCGAGCGTGTTTGTATGCATCGAGAATAATCACCAGAACCGCACTGTGTTGCTTCATCTCTCGATGCTGGCGCTGTTACTCGTCGGGAGGGCAAAGTCTGGACCCAGCACAGACATTACACCACATCACCCCTTTCCTCCCCTCCCCACCTCCGGCAGCCGTAAGCTGCCCCTCAACGCAAACACGGCGCCACATCCCGTCCGCCCGCTCCCATCTGCGGGGCGTCGTCTCCGGCCGGCTGTCGCGCGAGCCGGGCCGCCGCCGGCGGCGGCAGCGGCTGCGTGCTGGTCGCCTCCGCCGGCGCGACAGCCGGCCCGGCTCGGCGCGTCGATACGCCCAGCTCGCCAGCGAGCGTTGAACCTCAGGCTGCGCCGTCGCCCTGTCTGCGGCGCCGCCGCGCCGTCCGACCCGCCCGCGGCGGTATTTTTACACACGCGGCCCGCGCCGCCGTCCGTCGCTCGCGCGCTTATTTACGAGCGGCCCGGCCATTTCCGGCGCGTCGCGCGGGCGCGTGCTCGGCCGCCGTGTCCGGTCGCGCCGCTGGCCCGCTAAACTGCCGGCCCGACGCGCGCCGCCTCCGCCCGTAAATAGTGCCGCCGCCGGCCCGGCCCGGCCTGTGCGTGCCGGCAGGAGCGACTGACCGCAGCTGATGCCGCCGCACCGGGCGGGCGGCGACGGCGTGGGAGGCTCGCGGGTGGTCAGAGCTGCGAGAGCCGGTTGTCCGGTTAACACGGGCCGGACCGCCAGCCGCACGGCGGGGCGGGGCGCCGCGCAGCCGAGGCTGAGAGGCGGGATTTGGCTAGCTTGTGCGCCTTTTTTTCGTAGCTTCTTCGACCTCGTTTCGGCGTTGAGGGCTCGCTGCGTCCCCCAAAGCCTCCTCACGCCATGCGCGTTTCCGCCGCGGCCGGACGGAAGCCGGCCGGCCGACGCGGGTCCGGATGGTGTGTGCGGCGGCCGCTCGCAGCCGCCCGCCTCGTAATCCGAGCCGTGGTCGGGGCGGCCCGCGGAGCCGGGCGCACGTCCGGCCCCTCGCCGGGCATCTGCCGCGAAAGCCCCGCGTCGGCGGCCGCGGGCCCGAGAGCAGCTGACCGCCGCTATCGGGCGGAAAGCGATTCCTCCCCGCCCCGCGCGGGATAAGATACGGCCGGTGAGCCGCGACGGGCCGGTAGCAGACCTGTGGAGCGAAACCACGCCGCTGCCGGGCGGCGCCCACCGGCCGGCACCGGCCACCGCCGCCGCCGCCGCGGGACCCGCGGGACCGGCTCGCTCAGCCCGGCGATGTGTTTTACTCGGGTGATTGATGGACGGGCATGCTCGGCTTGACTTGTGCGTGTGCAGATGGGAGCGGCTGTGCGATAAACAGTTTCAGCGGGCTGGGCTAGAATAAATTTTCTGTGAAATGTTGACCAGTCGAGTTGAGCGGTTATGTCAGTCAGAACGATTGACGGACCAGCTGCGGTAGCGAGGTGATTCACAACAGCGATCTTGTCCTTCGTACGCCTGTCTGTATATCCTTCATGTATGTATGTGTTATGCGAGGTATCCCATGTTTTCGCTTAAGCAATGTTACGCTTATCCCATGTTTTCGCAACGCAATGCACATATGTTCACGCATATGTAGGTGTGGCATGCAAGTTTGTATGTGTGCATGTGTGTAGCCCACCGTCCGTTGAATATGGCAATTGTTGACTTCGGATCGCGCTTATCGAAAAGGAATGAATGAACCAATGAATGAAATTATAGTACTCTTGGGCCAGTGGTCTATAATCGGATTTAGAGTCACTCAGATGGAGTGGTATGTCAAGTCGGAGTCGGAGTCGGAGTCGGTGCCGGTACCGGTGCCCGTGCCCGTGCCCGTGCCCGTGCCCGTGCCGGTTTGGACCGGAGTCAGGCACACATGGGTGTGACGGGAGCTCGCCTGCGCTTGATTTCCGCATCAGTTCCGTGCAGCATGGCTCATGCCGACCGCTCAGTGAGGTCCGCTGGGACCGGATGCCCCCACCGCCAGGCAGGGTCTCTCCTGTGACCCCAGCTGCTGCCCGCGGCCGGTCGGCGGGTCCGGCTCGGCCTGGACTCGCGGCCGTGAACAGGCCGAACCGGCCCCGTGAACCTCCCGATGTTTTTGTGTCCCGAATGACGGCGTTTCTTTGTATCGACGCGGGCTGTGTGTACTCATCAGCTGACCCCCGCCTCTGTTTAATGTCAGCCGTCCCGCAGTCGTCAATGCGTTGGATGGAGGCGGCCGCGGAGGGTGTGACCTTTGCCCGCCCTCTGACCCCGACCCGGCCGCGGCCTGTGTCGTCTCTGCGTGTCGGCCTCTCGGCCGCGGCGTCTGTGATGCGGCGCGGACGGACGGTGACCGCGGGCGGCGCGCGCGCGCTGTTTTCGGCCGGACTGACCGGGCGGGCCGGTTGCAGGCGCCACGAGAGAGATCGGCACAGCGCTGACGCGCATCTGCCTGCGCCACCGAGCCGTCGAGGCCAAGGTCAAGGCGTTCGCCAGGTGAGTGGGCGCGGTTGCGCACGCCGGTCGGAGCAGCTGTCGGGGTGTCACGGGGCTGGCAGACGCGTGAGGCGTGCGCTGATGGCAGGCGGAGGTCGGATGCGGCGGACGCTGGGGCACCGCGGGACCCGACAGGGGGATGGGGTGGGATTGCCGTGGTGGGATGGGGTGAGATTGTGGGATACGTGGAAGAAGGGTAAGCGGGAGGCGACGTTGAGTTAGTCTCCTTTGCGGGATGTGTCAGTGAGTGACGTGGAGAGGGCGGGTTTGGTTCGCGAAAGCGATGATCTATATCCGGGAATTATGCTCGTCACTGAAGTATGGGCATTTGCATGATAGCGCTGCCTGTTTTCCCGAATGGGGATGATGTCACGGTGCATTGGCTATTGATCGCTCGTTATGCGCTTTTATTTAACGTTTTCTTGTCACGTCAGTTGACGTCACGGAACGGATCGCAGCCGTGCGGCGTGCTCTCGCTGTTCGAATTTAACCCAGCATGGTTGTTGAAATGGAATAAGCCCGGGCCACCTGATTCGAGCACGGCCGCATTGTCGAGCGCGGCTTGTCATGTCGCGGCCGGAAGCTCGGGCCACCGCCTCCCACAGTCAGACCAGCTCCACACACCTGTCACGCCGAGCCGGATGCAGCCCAGCTCTGAGCGCGCTCCCTCTCACCACGAGGCTGCGCCGCGCCCTCCCAGTGGTCTCGCGGTACCTGCCGTCTCGGACTGGACCTCCCCGGGAATAGCCGCCCGGGGCTTGTTGACTTGCCCCGGCCAGGCTCGCCCGGCCTTCCCCCGTCGTAGTCAGTTATCGCGCTCGCCGCGCCGCGCCGCGCCGCGAGCTGTGTTGTTTTGCCCTGATTTGCGGGCGTGCGCTGACCGCGGCCGTCAGACGGCCGGTTCGGCGCCGTCAGACAGCTGCCCCAGGACCGTCAGACGGCCGGCCCAGCGCCGGCAGACGGCTGCCCCAGGACCGTCAGACGGTCGGCCCAGCGCCGGCAGACGGCTGGTGCGACGCTCTGACCCGTTGTCTTTATTGCAGCGCGTTGATGGAGAGCCTGATCGTGCCGCTGCAGGAGAAGCTGGACGACTGGCGGAAGGTGGCCACCCACCTGGAGAAGGAGCACGCCAAAGGTGAGGCGAGCTGCGGCGGACTGGCGAGTCGACACGCCCCGCAACAGCCCCCGACACCATCCCCCACTCACCCACCCGCACGGAACCCAGCCCGTATACTAGGATAGTCGGGGGCAGAGGGCGGGATAGACGCTGGCATTGTTTGGACTCGGCAGAGCGGGCTGTGGGGCAGAGTATGCCGGGCACGCAAGCGCCGCACATCGACGCTCTTCCGTCCCAGCGCCGGACAAAGGGCGGATTCGGGATCGGATCTAGGGACCGCTTCGGATGCCTCATCAATTACCCGAAAGCCAAGCCAGAGTGGTGGGCATTCTACTTTGCCGCACGGGGGCAATGGACCATCCCCTCCGTCGCCCCCCCCCCCCCCCCCACACGCATTTGGATCCGCCATTGGCGCCGGGCAAACGCACCCGCTGCGTGCTGACGCCACCGACCAGGTGGGGATCGCCGAGCCCGCCAGCGTCGCTGCTGCCGGCGGCCGGAGGCGTGGCGGCCGGTCAGACACCCCTCGGCGCCCCGACGACACGCGGACGCACGCTAACAAGGCGCATTACTGTCATCCGGAGAGAAGCAGGCTAATGGTGTGGGACGCGAGCGAGCTGCAGACCGCGGGGGGAGGGACAGCGGCTGGCGGCCGGCGTGGCGACAAGTGTCAGCAGGAGGCGGCAGGCAGAAGGCATTGTTGCGCCTTCCCGGACAGGCGGACGGGATAGGTGTGCGAGCTGCGGACAGGCGGTCGGGATAGTTGTGCGATCTCCGGACAGGCGGATGGGATAGTTGTGCGATCTGCGGACAGGCGGATGGCATAGTTGTGCGATCTGCGGACAGGCGGACGGCATAGTTGTGCGATCTGCGGACAGGCGGACGGCATAGCTGTACGGTCTCCAAACAAGCGCAGCTGGCGGTGTGTTTCAGTTTCGGCATGGTATGGCAACCTCTGGCCAATAAGAAATGGCTATGTGCGGTGTGAAATTATCCGTAGCTGTAGCTTTCTCCGTGTGTTTATGTCAGCATTCAAACCATGTGGTGTTATTGTGTAGCAGGTGATGTTTCAGCGGCGCTTCCGTGAAAACTCGTTTTGTTAGACTGCTGCATTCGGAGCCCTGCTTAAGTATTTATGGAACTTACAGATGAACCTCCGCTGAGCATAAACACCTGGAGATAAAGGGGTGTTCCACGTTAGCGTGGGGTTTTAAACTGAAATAGCCATCGGGAGATCATTCTGTGCAGTTTCTGAGCTACACGCTAGCGAAGATGTGCAGACTATTTCGGGGAGACTATTTTAAGTTCACTCAGACATTCACGACGTCATAATAACGTCATTCAACTCCCGCCATTCCATGGGCATGCGACGATCAAAGCCAATGCAAATATAATTGTCGAGTCGGTTATATCTGGCGTTCGTGAGCACGCTTTCCAGATATAATGGCCGTCAATTAGTTCTCAATCAATGTTGTGCAAGACACGATGACGCAATTAAACAGTGATGTGCTGGGAGCATGTTTACTAAACAGAGAAATGGTGTTGTCTAGAGCAATCATTTCCACTAAAAAGTGTACCATCAGTGATCTTATTTCGTCATATCTGATGTTTCCTTCAGGATATCCAGACGTGGAACATCCCCTTTGCATATTATTATTTGTACTCGCGAATGCATTTCCCCGGAGGATAGATACCTGAAGTTAAAACCTGCCAGAGATAATCCTGCCGTAAGGAGGACCCCCGCGTAGCCACCACCGTTTCGTGGCGTAAGCCCTCTGTGGCGCACGTGACGTCGTCCTCCGCTACCGGGCCGCCCGCTGGGCCGGTACCGGTGCTGTGCTCCCCTTTGCAGGCGCGGCACCGGCCGCCGGCCGCGCGGCGCTATTCACGTGTATTGTTCGCGCCACCTGCGAGCTGGCGGTGCAGCCAGCGGCCTGGAACGGCGCGGGGGGCGACCGCCGGCGCACTCGAGCGCGCGGACCGTCCGGCGCCGCGGCCCGCAACCAGGCTTCTGTGCCCGCGCTGCGGCCGGCGCGCCAGCCGTCGCAGCCGGACGCAAGACGCCTGGTGTGGTGGCCAGAGCCGGACTGAACCCCGCCGCTGACCTGGCCAGGCGTGATCGGTCGTGGGTGGCGGCCGGGGGCGTGATCCGGACCGTGATGGTGGGGGGCGGGGCGGGGCGGGGCGTGATCTGGCGGGGCGTGACCGAGCCGCCGCAGCCCAGTCACGAGCGAGCGGTTCGACGGCCGCCGCCGGTGGGAACGTCACGGACAGTGCGGCCTGCACGCAGCCCGGCGCCAGGACCGGCGGCCGCCGGCAGCGGCGCGGGCCGGGCGCCCGCTGCCGGCGGCACGGCTCGTGGTCGGAGCCTCGGCGGCCGGCGCCACGTCTGAATTCCTGCCGCCCGTAACGCCGTGGGAGCGGCGATGGCCGCCTCCGGGGCTCGGCGCGGAACTTCGGGAGGACGCCGCCTCAGGCGCGAAGCTTTGGGAGGACAAACATCGCGGGGTGGTGCCGGGCTGGCGGGTGGTTGGCACCTCGGACCGCAACGCGCGCGGAACGGGCCACTCGCTTTACGACTCGACATGCCGGACAAGCCTGTTCCACGGTTTGGCGCGGCAGCGCCGGGCGCGCCCTGCGAGCGGTTTGACGCGGCAGCGCCGGGCGCGCCTGCGACGGGTTGTGTGACGCTGCAGCCGTCGGACGGGGGGACTTCTCCGCGACTGGAACGCGGCGGGTCGGTCCATCGTCCGCTGGCAACCGCTCCTCCCCCGG